AAAAAGAAAATAATATGTTTTATTATGTTATAATTTGTTTAATTTGTTAATTACAAAAAATATTAAACGATTTTCATTCATAAATTATATTTTAATATTAAAAAATCTCGATTATGGACGAAATAATAAGTGTTATATTATTATTATTTATTTATTTTTTTTTTTTTTTTTGGGAGGGGACATAAATTATATGCCCGGGGGTGCCAAATTTTTAAATACGGGTCTGACGGTAATTATTCTTATTTTTTCAACCCCCTCCCCCCCCGAAATTTTTTTCTGCGTCCGCCCCTATGTCTGGGAAATTTAACGGATTACAAAACAAAATAAAAAATCAATATCCTTACGCTATTTATACCCAATGCATTGGATACATGTATGGCTCATAAAATGAACCTCATTGTAATTGATATGTGTAAATATGCAGTGGTGTATTGGTAAATATATTTATGGGTATACGCTCCTAAAAGTAGTTTAATATACCTATATATGCCTACCAGTGGCGGATCCAGAAATTTATCAAGGGGGTAAATAATCTGAAATCTGAAAAAATGGTATATAATAATGTGATAAACCTATTTTTTTCACAAGTCACAATGTAATAAATTTGTATATAATAAACTCAAGGATGGAGAGAGGGGTATTTACCTATTACCTCCCCTTAGATTCGCCACTATTGCTTACCTTAAAAAATGTTCTTGCTCCACTCGAAAAATCATTACACTTAGTATTTAATAATCTTTTATTACTTTATTACAAATACTTACCCTTCATTTGTATATGTATATGCAGTGGCGTATATAGTGGGGGGTTTACCCTATATTCACCCCCACCATATAATTAATTCCTATATACTCCATTGTGTGTAATATGTACCAAGTATCATTGTATTATTTTTTTTTAAATTAATTCAATTCATATATATCATAAATAATACAACTTTTTATTATCAAACTTAAAAAAAATGTACAGTAAAATAATGGACTACTTATATATATAAAATAATAAACAACTTTAGATAATATACAATATTTATTAGTCTATATTATCTATTTATCTATGTTAATAACACGTCAAACTTCAAATATTATTATAAATAATTTTAAAAAATTAACAACTGTCCATAAACTTCTTTTATAATAATATATATCTTCTTCTTTGTAGTTTTTTTTGTTCTGGTGTCATTTACTGATCTGTGTTGAACTAACCAACTTTTAACATAGGACTCAGGGCTCCATAACTTAAGTGGGAGTCCATTTATATTTATCAACATCAAATTTGAAATATTAGTTTTGTTTAATGTAGACCTAAGATCTGTGCAAATCAAATTTAAAACACTGAAGCCACGTTCACATTCAGCAGTTGAGCAAGGAAAAGTTTTTATACAGTTATTCAACTCTAGAAATACATCTTGAGGATATTTATCTTTATCAAAGTATGCTCTCAATCCGTTTATTGCATTATTCTTGTTTAACATGAAACGTTTGACTTCTTCTTCATCATATCTTATGTCTATATCAACTGCCCAAGTACTTTTATCAAGAACTGTGATGTCTTTCATCAAACTTAAGTCATTAGTATCTTCTAATAATCTACTTTTTAGATTATTACAGATACTAGTTATGAACTGATTTTTTTTAATTGGTACAATTTTTGAATAATTTATTAGCTTCTGATGTCGGGAATAGGTGACCACTTAAATATGAATACAAGAAAATAAAAGGCAATATAATATGGAACGATAACGGACCAAAAGGCACCGCCTGCTATTATTTGTAAAAAAAAAAAAAACAATAAATCATTCAATTTTGGGGAACGGGAGCCCAAAGGTTGTGAAAAAAAATAATAATAATAATGGTAATACAAAATATATAAGTATAACAATAAAACGAGGTGCCGTATGGGCAATAATAGAATAATTAATGATAATTAATACCAAAGTGCAATATTGGCAATAATACAATAAAAGGCATAACCTGATCGGTTGACCACGACAAAACACCCGAGCTGACGTTGCCCTCTGGATCGACCTGACTAAACGGCTACTGTCCGCCGCAAACCCACGAACCGCGACACCACAGGACAGACGATAACGGTCGTTGACAACTTCGCACTTTGGTTAATTAAAACACGGACGGCGAAAAGGAAATAAAACGCACACGCGGCAGGACGATGTTTCGTGCGACGACCGGTGGTACAAAAAAAACACGTTGACGGCTATGTGCCGTAACTAGCAGGTGAACACACGACAACCGCGACAGTTATCCAGCCAGGCGGTGAACAGGCCGTTAAATAATCGCATCCGCGGTTATCGGAGGAAAGGCCGTAGATACGGCAAAAATAAGTTTATATGGCAACCAGCTCGAACAGATACTATGACTGAATTGTCTGATGATAAATTAGAAGTGTGCGTATACCCATAAAAGACTAATTTTCTTAAAGGTATACGCATAAATCCAAAAATAGGGATCCGGGTATACGACGTATACCCGCGTATACTCTCCAATACACCTCTGTAAATATTTAAAGGTAATGAATATTTATATACATTTTAGATCTTCATGATTTTATATATTACTTATATTAATATTAGGAAACAAGGCATGTGTTCAACACTTTAGAATCCCTGTACGTACATTTTTCTCATCCGTCAAAAAAATTAAAAATTAACTGAGATTCAAACTAAACTAGGAATAAAACATACGACAATGATTCGACTTAGTGATACTAAATGGAATTGCCGTTATCGAAATATAAAGTCTGTTAAAAACAGTAATAAAGCAATTATTCAAGCTTTAGAAGAAAAAATTGAAAATGAAGATGATAGAGATATAAATGAAGCAATTGGTATAATATAATAAGTAATAATTAATGATTCAAAGTATTTAAATTTCAATATCATTGTTTTAGATATATTAACAAATTTAAAAAGTGGACGATTTATTGTTTATTTATATATCTTACATAAAGTATTAATTAATATTATTATTGTTTCTAACAAATTTCAAGAAAAAAATGCAACCATAGGTAAATCTAAAAATATTATTGAAGATGTGACTTTTAAATGACTTTTGAAAATTCTAGAACAACAGAGTATTTTTCTTTGCTAATATCCTGCCTCAAATAAAAATAAAAATAATCAAATATTAAAAAAATGTTGATGAAACCAAATATCCAGAATATTATCGTAAAACAATAGAAAACTCTATGCGAGGCTCAAACGAAACTACACCTAATGCCTTTGAAATAGCTGAAATTTTAGCCATATATATTGTTGAGGGGGATAAGAAAAATGTTAAAATTATTGTACGGCGTATGTACTGAGCTGAACAAATCCCAATGGATGATAATTATAAAAATGCGGATATGAACATGTTATATTGGTTAGAAGAAGAGTTCAGAGTACAATATGACGATATTTACGGTAAATTTTATATGGCTTTTATAACTAATATTCTAGATCCTCTAGCTTGGTCTGCTGATGGACCAGACCGATTTTACTTCTCTAAGAAGTATGATTTTTTAACTGGTACTGTTATTGCGGATTATCAAATTCCAAGTGCAGCTAAATTGACTGGAAAAGAAGTATATGTAAATAATCAATTTAAATTTGTGGATGAAGATAAATTGCAGTAGGTTTTCACCATTTCACAAAAAAATCAAACCACTCAGAGGACTAGATATATTTGTTGGTTGTGGTGGGTTATCAAAAGGCTTGGAAGAGAGTGGTTTGATTACAAGTAAATTGGCTATAGAATCTGATGATAAAGCAACTGCTGCATTTGAATTAAATAATCTAGAATGTACCGTATTTGTTGATGACAGTAATTATTTATTGGAGTTAGCAATGTCTGGTTTTATTACAAATAGTAAAAATCAAAAAATAACTCAAAAGGGTGAAGTAGACTTTATATGTAGAGGACCTCCTTGTCAAGAATTTAGTGGAATAAATCGGTTTAATTCTGGCCAATATTCATTATTTAAAAACTATCTCATTGTTTCATTTTTATCATATATTGATTATTATCGTCCAAAATATTTTGTTATGGAAAACGTTAGAAATGTTGTATCATTTTAAAGAAGTATGGTTCTTAAGTTAACTCTTCGATGCATAACACGAATAGGCTATTAGTGTACACTTGGTGTCCTTCAGGCTGGAAATGTTGGTGTTCCTTAAACCAGGAGAAGATTAATATTTATGGCAGCAACATCTGGTGAACAACTACCACTTTACCCAGAGCCCATCCACGTATTCAATAGAAAAGGATCAAGTTTGACTGTTCAGGTCGGTGATAAAAAGTTCAAAACAAATTGCAAGTATAATGAATCAGCTCCAATGAGAATAGTAACTGTTTATGATGCCTGGTCTGATTTACCTGAGATATCTAATGGAGGATGTGAAAAATAACTTCCTTATGTATCCAATCCTATTACACATTTGCAAAAAATACTTAGATACCCAAATAATGGATTCTCAGAATCTATATTGACTGATCATATTTGCAAGGACATGTCACCTTTAATACAAGCAAGAATGGAATTGATTCCTGTAGGCGAAGGGAGTGATTGGAGAGACCTTCCCAATATTGAAGTATAACTCTCTGATGGAACTATGACAAATAAAATGTTGTATTCTTATCATGACATTAAAAACGGTGAAGGTCATAGGCGTGTTCAGACTTTGGTGGCCGAGGGGGTACAAAAATATTTAAATTATAAGACTTATTTTTTTTTTTTGTTTAGACATGAATAATAAAAATACATTTAAAACTCAAAAAAAAAAAATACGTACATTTTACTACTATACTAAAACTAGGTAATGAGTACAGATCGTATTACTTTTTTTTATCCTGGCACGGTTTTGTTGGAGGAAAATCTCGCCGGGGGGTCAGTGGCCCACCCGGCCCCTCCCGTAAACACGCCTATGACTATTACCTATATACCTATATACCTATTCGTATTCCTCAATGTTTGTTTTGTTTTCGCATTTAAATAATTTACAAGATTATCAGATAATATATAAAATAGGTACATACATATTCTATAGAAATGCGTTGCTATTGATTTGGATGTTTACAGGTAACATAGTTACATCACACTCTTGTTTTACATTGTACTTACAGCATAGTGTATTATTTCAAATTTTGAGCTCGTCTTAGAAAAATCTGTATTTATATTTTCGTAATTGGATATAAACAGAGAAGGTAAGCATTTAAATGTTGAATATATTACTTGGAATACATGCTTAGGTATCTCCCTTGGACACTTCTTCGACAATAGTACAAAATTCTATATATAACAAAAAAATGAAGCGTTTTACGTAATGGCAAAAGTATTCGGTTTTTTTTTATGTCTAAGATTGTACCAAAATTAGTGTATTTTAATTTTTAAGTTGTTTAAAATAAGATTTGTAAAGCTTGTGATTCTATTCGATTCAACTAGAACTTATTGCGCAATGGTGCCCAGGCATATAAAAGAGGAGGCACATTACTACTTGGAGAAGGTCAAAAGTGAATCATCTAATGGAATGTCATCTAATGAATTTTTGGATAATTTGATGTATTTAAATCAATCATCCATCAAACAGAATAAGGTATTAATTGCATAACCAAATAATTTAGATAAAAAACTTGTAGTATATGTTTCTATTTTAAATATTATTTGACGTTATTTTGCATTGAAAATATTTTTATTTTGTGTAACACTGATTTATTAAATAAATACACACTTTTAACAAAAGTAAAAAAGAATATTCACAAAAATATAATTTATAATGATTATTGGCAAACATGTTATACGTAGTTTATGATTTAGATTATCAAATTCGCAAATAAAACCCGTAGAACTTGATGTCAATAAACTTTATATTTTCGATTTTTTCCGGGTAAGGTAAATTTCGCGTAAGACTTATGTTGAGACTCAAAGTAAATCTTATTACGTTTTCAAATATGAAAAAACAAATGTAATTCTAGTATTTATTGGTATCTTAATATCATATACACCTAATGTAAAGTTTTAAGTTTTAAAAACAGTTGAAAATGTCACACATTTTTCAGGAAGTATTTTCATATCTCATGAACAAGTTGCTAGACGAGCGAACATATTACGTAGGATATTCTCGTTATATCCTTATGAAATATGCTAATATTTATGGTGGTATCATTGAATATGGACTCATTCCGTAAGTAATTTTTGAGATGAACATTTCTTGAACATATCCGTTTGAAGCAAGCCTGGGCATTAACGAGTTAATAAGTCAAAAGTTAAGTTTATTTAACTTATTAAATTAACTCATTTCCTTATAGATTAACTTGAAATGAACGTGTTATTTTTTCATTTATGCAATTAAGTTAATTTTGATTTTAAGACCAGAAAAATATTTTTGTAAAATACCGCATTCGATAACAAGTTCATAAAATTTAGAAAAATATAAAAATAAAAATGTCGAAGAATTTTTAGATGAGTCTGTAATATTTATCTTAGTATTAAATAATAATAGGGGTCCCACCGATCTCGGGAAAAGTACTCAACCGTCTTAAGACTATTGAGTAAAAATAGCCATGTCACCCATGAATTACATTATCATTGTCATGAAAAGTGGTCGTAAATCTACATTACAAAAATAAGTACATATTATCATTATCTAAATAATTCTTAATAATAATTGTACTCTTTTATTATTAGAATTATTCCATAATCTATGATATTATTAAATAAGATTGATATTAATAAATATTATTAAATAAATAAATTAAATACATATTTTATAACTAAACTATTTTAATGATCTTTATTGTGTATTTGGATAATCTATAAATACTTTATAATTAAATGCAATGTTTATGGGTAGGTATAAAATGAACCGGTTTATATATATTGTCTTATATTTCAAACCGCTTTTTGAAAATGTTCATAGTATTATAGTATTATTAGTATTATGTAGTATTAATGTTCATAGTATTATAGTATTATAGTATTATTAGTACTTATAGTACGAACAAGAAATAATAAATTGTGTAATAGAATTGAAAAACGGATCTTCACCCGAAATTGATGGTATAACGGTTGAAATACTAAAAGAAAATATATCTCCTTGTTTTTTCCATAAAGTATATATTTAATCTTTGTCTTTCACAATCAGTTATACCTGATGTATTTAAACTATCCATAATAACACCAATCTATAAAAAAGAAAATTCTAATTCAATAAATAATTTTCAGCCCATATCTGTAATCTCTAATATAGCAAAAATATTTGAGAAAATAATTAAAAAACAATTAGTTACTTATTTAGAAAATAACAATCTTTTACATTTTTTTCAATATGATTTTCGTCCGGCAAAGGAACTGATTAAGCAATAGCAAAACTAACTAATTTTATTTACAAATCTTTAGTTTATCTAGATCTAGCTAAAGCCTTTGATACAATAGTATCAACAATATCACAACATTTTTATAACTAAATTAAACCAAATAGGCATTTTTGGTGATAATCTAAAATTATTTTCTTCATATTTAACTAACAGAAAAATAAATAAATACTTCAAGTCCTTTTAAACAAATTAAATGTGGAGTCCCTCAAGGTACTGTTATTTCACCAATTTTCTTTAATATACAAATAAATAGAATCCATGAACTTCCTCTTAAAAGTTAAATCATCTGTTATGCGGATGATACTGTAATGCTATGTGAAGCAGACTCATGGGAAGAAATATTTGAATTAATAAGTAGAGATCAAAATTAATAAATCAATGGCTCCTCCAAAATAATCTATTTCTTAGTTTTGAGAAAACTCACGTCATTCTTCATGCTTTGACCAAAAATTCAATACCAACAAAAAAATGTATAAACATTCATAATACATTATTACCAGTAGATTGTTCTTGTGAAACAATTGTTATATCTAACTCTGTTAAATACTTAGGAGTTGAAATCTGTAATAAAATGAGGTGGAAAGACCAAATAAATATTCTAAGTAAATAAGTAAGAAAAAAGATTTATATATTTAGAGATTTGTGTAACATATTAGATTCGACTAAATTGTAGCAAGTTTATTTAACATTAGTAGAATCGGTCATTAACTATGGTATAATTGGTTAGGGTGATACGTTCAATAATGTACTAAAAGAATTACAAATCTGTCAAAATCAAATATTGAAAGTGATCTTCAATAAAACACTAAGATACCATACCGAAAATCTTTATAAAGAATTAAAACTACTTCCTATACAAAAACATATTATAAAATGATCGTTATATTCCTAATATATACCGCATAATATTAATACCAGGTATGCTAAAAACAATTTTTTAATAAATTGGTGGAATAAAACTATTTCAGGTAGATATTTTCAAATAATAGGTACCAAAATAATAAATAAAATTCCTTCTGATATCTTAAATCTTCCACTCAGTTTATTTAAAAAAATAAATTATTCAATAGTTATTAGATTTAGATGATTCAATATGATAATAGTAGGTAAATTGTTTTAATTTATATTTGTAACATGTATTAATGTAAGAACTCCTGGATCCCCCATACGAATTATCTCAGTGGGGCCCAGTATTCATTGTATGAATTAAAAATTAAATAAATAAAATAAAAATAAATAAATTATTAAATAAGAGAAGAAACTCAAAGCTGATCAACATTTTTTAGATGATCCTTTTATTGAGATTCAATTGGTATTTTTATTAACCTGTCCTTTGTATTGTTTAGATTTTAGTAAATTTAAATAATATATATTTATTTTAATGTTTTATATCTACTGTATACATTTATTGCCTGTATAATTTTATAGTTACACTTTTAGCTGCAGTAATTATTTTTAGTTTTCATACTCTTATTGAACATTAAAAAGAATACTTTTTTTTAATTATATTTATCATATGTGATTTGAATGAAAAATTAATAAAAAAAACCATACATAAATTAATATAAATTTGACATTTGAGTGCATTAAAATAATCCCAATGAAGATATATATATATATATATATTTCTCTATTCTAATTAGAGTCTAATAAGATTTTTCTGAATTTTCATTATCGTTAATGTTAAATAAAATCTGTTGTTAATCGTCATTATATATATATCACTTATATCTGTGTTTAATGTACATATATTTTTTTTTGTAATTAACTTAACTTATTAATCGAAGTTAACGATATTTTTTAACTTAATTTTTAATTTAATTGATGTAATTCTCATGTTAATTAACTTAACCGAGATAAAAAATAACATTAACTTACCCAGCCTTGGTTTGATGTATATATGTATTATATGACGTATGTATCGTAAACGTGTATAATATATATTTAATTTGTGCACAACGTTTTTTTTTCGTTAGCAATCCCAAGGCATTAAGTAAAGCATTGAATTTCGTCCTGGTCTGCTTGAGTAGTAGACCACAATCAAAATTGTTCGATTTCGGAATAAGAGCACTGAACCGGTTCCACAATAACTTGAAAAATCGCGGAGAATTTTTCAAAAATGTAGCAGCCATTGCGCATTTCGGAAAATTCCCCTCGAATTTAATATCGGTAAGTCTCATTCGAATAACGTGAACACTAATCGGCAACCCTGTACATACCGTGCACACGTTCTACGTGTATAGTTGTATTTACCTGCGGTCACGGAATAAATCATAATTTAATAGCAATGAACATTTTGCAGTCTATTGCGGAATACCGGGAATGTACGACGGAACACGTAAAAGAAGTTACCAATAGCCAACAGTCACCCGTGATCTGCACCCCGACGACAACGTTGGACCCAGACACGAGGTCGGTCGATCAAGTAAAATGTGATTTTGAAAAGCTTGACCGGACTGCAATCGGAAAAGATAGGATTAGGTCTATCATTAACAATTTGTATGTGAACAAAATACGTGAAAAGGTTAGTCACGGTTTGTTCGTACCGCTCATGAACACGTTGTGATCCACGCACTACGAGAATCGTCTGAATTCGCAACACACTTACGTTTCTTTACTGGCGTATCCCGTCCGCGTAGTGTTTCCGCTTTAGGCGATTTTTAGTGTGTGCACATTGTGACCGTGCGCCCTGTTTATGATTTATCATTTCATTCCGTTTCAGAGCGACGAGATCAAAGCCATAATGGGGGAAGAACTCGTTCAGTGGTTCGCGGCTTATTTGGTCGAACAGCGTATACAGTTCGAATTCAATTTACAGTCATTGTACTTGGACCTGCTGGACCAAATTGGCAACGAGCAACTGAACGCCCTTATCATGGCAAAAACGACGGAGAACATCCGAGTTAGTAACGCGGTTTATCATGGGCGAACAGGGAAAAAAAAACAGCTTAAAAAATATTACGTTTTATCATTTCAGTTGCTGTTGGATAACAACACTTATAATAATAAAGCTTTGCTCAAAAACCTTGGCCATTGGTTGGGTCTTATAACGTTGGCAAAAAATAAGCCTTTACCTTTTGACAAAGGTTATCTAAAATCAATAATCGTAGAAGCGTCTGGAGTAGAAGAATTGATGTATACTGTTCCATTTGTCGCTAAAGTACTTGTGTCCTGTGCCAAAAGCCAAGTATGTTTATACATTTATTTTCTCGATTTTTTTACCGTTTATTATTATATTTTATGCAATCGGTAAACTTTTATTTACAATGAGCATACGCGATAATGATGTTTTTTTTATTTTCGTTAAAATTACGATAGGCTTTTGCACCGAAAAGTCCGTGGACGTTGAGTATTTTGAAAACCCTTGCGGATGTTCATAAACTACCGAACATAAAGTTAAATTTGATGTTTGAAGTAGAAGTACTTTGTAAATCATTGAACATTCATCTTGAGGTGAGTTTTTTCTTATAGTAAAGTAAAATTTGGACAGTGTTAACGTTGAGAAAAAGCAACAGCATATTATAAAAAGGCTTTTTTAATACCATTTGAACATTATTTTACAATATATTTTTGAAATTTTATGTCTCGTTCGATAACACAACAAATTATACACGTATTTCAAACGATAATTTTTTATTAATTTGTGAAAAATAAATATTATCGTTACAAGATAAAAAGTATTATGGTATTCACTTGTATGTTTAGTCGATGTAGTTTTGTTTGAAATAGTCTTATATTCTTATAAACCTGACGACTTACCGTGTTTCGCACGGAACACACTTTGACACTGGAAGATAAAAATCGGTCCAATAGTTTTTGAGTCTAATAATCTCAAATATATAAACACCATCCGTTTATAAATATTTACTAGCTGATTTACCCATCTTCGCCCGTGTTGGTTTTTAATTATTTTTAATAATTGTTTTTATTATTTTATAATACGAAAATTTATCATTTTTACTCAACTAAATACTATCAAATATAAATATTACCTATCAAAATCGGTTAAATAGATACAGATTTCATTGAGGACAAACCGTCGAACCTATAATTTTTATGTATAAGTATTAATATATAATATATAAAAAATATATAATTTCGGACTTTTACAATCATTGATTGTTAATTCTAAGATTTACTAAAACTCGTTGGTAAAAGCCCGAACTGCCAAAATCATTCGGGGTTTAACCAAGCAATAATATATGTTCTAGGTTTTACCGGTATTCGTACTATTACCGTAACATAGTAACATATATATATATATTAGAATTATCTGAAATTATGATATTAAAATAGTACGAAAATGTATAATAGCTTTAATACTTTATAACAATTAGTGCAGACTATCAAAAATATCCCTGTACGGCATCGAGTACGGTAAAATGCCCAACATTATACATAAGTGACTGGTCCTCGTCAGCAATGATGTTTAGTGTTCACTATGCAATTGAATATAGTTGCCTTCACGGTATTTTACTCTGAAACAACTGTTAGTGCTTAGGATTTCGGGCCTCCTGGATACGCTACTGATACTATACTATATGGCTGCATACAAAATGTATCCAGAAATCCCTTTTCCACACGAACTGCGTCCCGACGGTATTTAATCTCTAATCTAATATTGCGTCTCGGAAATATTTCACCACTATACACTATTCCGACAATATTTTCCTTCCCATAATTTGAATTAATTAGTTATGTCTCATGGTTAAGTTTATTGTTGTGTTCTTCTACGGGCTTTCTTTTTCGACTGTTAGTGTTTGTCTATCGACTAACTCAGCACCATCTTGAGTATGATTTAAAACATTAGTACTTTCTATGATGTAATTTATATAATTTAACTCGATGTATGACTTAAGTATTTTTCTTTTTTTTTTTACAGAGACTTCAAAATTGAATATGATTTTTCAACGTTTCACGTGTGTTAACGGCATTTTTAAGTCCGTATAAATCTATTATTAAAATATAATGTTAATTAATTCAAAGAAAAATAAAATAAACGTGTTATATACTTGTTAATCTAGTGTACCACATAAATATTATAATTATTATAATTTAATTTGTGAAACAGCTGTTCATTACAGATAGCAATCTGCCATTTATAGTTATAATATTCAAATAATACCTGTTCAAAGTTAAGTTTACCTCCAATTCATAAGAAATTGAAGTTTTAATAATTATTTAATATTCATATGTACTAAGTACATATGTATCTCTCTTTTTTTTTATTTTATTTTTTTTTATTTACTAGTGTTATTATATTTCTCCTTTTTTTTATTGTTGTGCGACGTGCCAAGATATCCCGGCCCACAACAATAATATAAACGCCCTTTATTAACTTAATTTTTGGTCAAGTCAAGGAGTAAAAAAAATAAATAATTTTGTACATGCATCCCTTCTAAATACGCACATCTTATTTTCTCTGTTTTCACGAAACGAGCGAGAAATGTTCACATTATTTTTACATGACGACACAAATTTTCTGACGGTCAATGTTATGGTATATGTAAATATCTCATATGTATGCATAGATCACAGAGTAAAGATTTTACATAAAATCGAAAATAAAATCTCGTATAGTCTATGCACGTTACGCTCTAATGGCTCAATGTTATCGCGTTGTTGCTGAGTTGGTATATTTTAGTAGAGCAATTCACATACTCGTATCAATGTACCACAGCTGTATAAAGAACAACACCATTGGTATGCAGCTATTGATTACGGATCAATGTGTAGTATTCTAAGACATTGAACACCATTATGTATGTGTGGATCGACATTCATAGTTTATCAATGTGGCTCTTAAATAATAATAATTTTAAAATCATATCCAATTCGCTACACTCAGGATTCAAAATGTTGTTTAAAATCATAATAGTTTTTAAATAGTAAAATAAAATGAGTTTCTTGTTACCGTTGATTATCAAATTATTTTTCAAACATACCTAAATATTATAACAAAAAATGCAAATCTTCACTTTTAATTAGTAACTAGTTTTATGTGTAATTACTTATTTTTTATTTGAATTACTTTTTTAATCAATCGTACAACCAAAAGTTTGGTATGTAGAATAAATTATAACTATTTTTACTTTTTACGATCGACTGAATCATCAATTTAATCAAATTTATCAACTATAAAAGTCAACATTTGTTATTTATGCCTTTCATTTATTCATTATTTTTTTTTTTTTAAAAAAAAAACGTTTTAACCATCAAAATACCTATTATATTTCTTAGAAAAATAATCCGTATGAAATACCAATATTACTTAGCTTTAATAATTATTAAATATTTTTATCGTTAAATGTTAGCTTTTGGGTCAATAATTTTGTCCAAAGAAATTGTTTCTTTTCAACTATGGATTCGCATTTTTTGTTATTTTTCAGTTGCTTATTGATACTAAATGCATAGTGAAATACTTATAGTTCGATGATGACTAATAAAAAAAATATATGTATTATCTCAGTGGTCCGAACCATCACCATCTACACTTAATGTATGTAAAGAAATCTAAACGTATTAGGCCAAGCGTCTATCAAAGTCACGAGGCGTGTGGAATGGTAAATTATGTAGCAAGTGGCGTGCATCAAGTATATGTATTTGTATCAAAAATATGTAAGAAATATATTTATTGCCAACGATTTACACAGTGATGCACGTACCAGTGTTTCCTGGTAAAATCTTCCTGTACATTTATATTTAAAAATGCTGTATTTTTTTTTTTTTTTTTATCAATTTATAACTTTCCAATTTTCTGTAATCGACTCTAGTCGTATCGTTCATCAAATATCAAGAATATAAGTCTTAGCAATAAGCGAACAGTTCTCGTAATCGAGTAAAACGTAGTCGGTTTGAAAATTGATCCCGTAAAGTTCAATGATTTGTCGCTCTCCGATTAAAAAAAAAAGAAAAAATCTCTAGTCGCGGCAGTTAAAGCATGTGGAATAAAATATATTGCACTACGTTTTTGTATAAACGCCAACTTTTATTAAATACGAGTATATGTACGAACAATAGATATTTACGCAATATGTACCTAGTGTATCTACTGTAAATAATTGGTTTAATCAAATTTAATAATGAATACATTTGGAATAGAAATTTTCAATGTTCTTTTACTCGAATTCTTTATTTTTTTTCTCGATAATTCGTAGTCCGGCCAAGTCGAAAACCATTACGAATAAAATTTTCAACTCGTTCACCTGAAATTCGAATAATTCTGTCTTTTGTATAGTGATCACTCCGAAGATTATATTATGTACATTTAATAAAAATAATTTCATAGATTGTCCAGATTACATTGTAGTGATATACCTATTACCATGAGCGTGTTCAGATTTTGGTGGCCGAGGGGGCACAACAAATTATGACACTAGACTTGACTTTCACTTGAAAGATGCACAGACTGAGTTGTTACTGGAGTTAACATTGTTTAGACTATCCACTTGGACCAATAATTGTTTTTATCAACAACTTTAACTCTGGTAGTTCCTTAAGACATTGATGATAATCATCGTAAAAACACTCGAGAGACCTAGTTTTTAAGGAAAGACACATGTAATATAACATGTAATAACAATTATAATTTTATTAATAGTCGGTACGGGATGACGTACCACCCGTAGCCCGGCGAGCGGTCGTAGGCGCGGTGTTGGTGGACGTCGGCGGGCACGCGTATCATCGTCGCCGTCCGCGACCAGCCGACCACGGACAATTTTTTTTAATAATTAATTTATTAAAATAATAGGATAATATTGCCCCCCCCCCCCCCAGATAATCCAACAGTTCAAATAGTACCTTTTATTAATGAACTCTTATGGATATTATTTAACAATATTGGTACCTAGTACATGCTACCTACAATTTATGTTTATCTAAACCATAAAATGAGTTAAAAGACTTATGTAAAATCAAACAATTAGATATGGTGCATAAAACAAATACAATAAAAATGTGAGGGGAAGGTAACATTTTTCGTAACTGTTGATTTTTCCAAGAGCAAAATAAATTATCATCATAGGCGTGTTCAGACTTTGGTGGCCGAGGGGGTACAAAAATATTTAAATTATAAGACTTATTTTTTTTTTTTGTTTAGACATGAATAATAAAAATACATTTAAAACTCAAAAAAAAAAAATACGTACATTTTACTACTATACTAAAACTAGGTAATGAGTACAGATCGTATTACTTTTTTTTATCCTGGCACGGTTTTGTTGGAGGAAAATCTCGCCGGGGGGTCAGTGGCCCACCCGGCCCCTCCCGTAAACACGCCTATGGTGAAGATTATAATGGTGCATTACTCAGTGTTTGCCAATGCGCTACTGGAAATAAATGCAATCCACAGGATCGTAAAAACAATACTATTATACCATGGTGTTTACCTCATACCGGTAATAGACATAATAACTGGGCAGGTTTATATGGTTGATTGGCTTGAACAGGTTTTTGCTCAACCACTATAACAAATCCTGAATCAATGGGTAAACAGGGTAGAGTTCTTCATCCTGAGCAACATCGTGTGGTCAGTGCCAGAGAGTGTGCTCGATCACAAGGTTTCAAACATTTATTCTTATTCTATGGTCCAACCATTAATAAACATCGACAAATTGGTAGTGCTGTACTTCCAGCAATGGATACGGCAATTGGACTTGAAATTATCAAAGCTATGTACAGATATTAAGCTTAAGTATTTTGTTAATTTTCTATATTTTAACAATGGAAAAGAAGTTATATAATTTTAATTTTTATTTTATGTTTATTAAAATATAATGAACAAATATTGTTTTTACTCTAAGAAATTTGTATTTTGTACTTTGTTATTAAATATCAGTTTCATTTTAGTTAATTTTTATTAAGGAAATAAGATTTGAACTAATATTCATTTATGATTTTTGTACTAGATTTTTTTTTTTTAATATACCTTGAAATATAATAGAGATTTATGTTGTTACTTTTGCCTACATAATATTAAATACTATTAGAAATAAAAGAAGGAAAAAGGTTTACTAAGTATATGGATTATATTTATTATTTTTTTTTTTTTTTATTAAATTGTTTAGTTTCTGATTAATGATGATTATCAGTATCTTTAATATTGTATTTATATTGTAGGTCTTAAAATCATCTTGTGTTATACTTCTGTATTTCAATAAATCAATCATCAAAAATTATATCAATTGCTTTCAGGATAGGTTTTATTGCAATGTATAAGATGAATAATAGTATTAATTTTTATTTTTTCTCTTATTTTACTGAATTCTCCACGCAATCACATCTCCGACATCAGCAGAAGAACCGCTATTACCCAGAAATACATTAACCGTTCTATTGACTTATAACTTCCAAATCCAACATAAGTGAGTCCATGGGAGTATTTAGTTAGCAAACACTTTAGTCCCAATTATTCTCACTGGCAGAAGCTAAGCACTTGAAACAGTGTAAAACAATCAAAGCAAAGCATAAGTATCGACACTCCATTATTCCATTCACAACGATTAAATCCAAAAGATAAGAAGAATAGAAGCACCCCATGGCAATTACGACGACAACGGCTGTGGCGAATACGACGAAGGCAATGCGGCGATCTCGAATACAGCGACAGCAACCTCGACGACTGCACAGCGGATGCGGCAACCACGGCCGTAAAAAACAACCATGAATCTGGTTCCAGCAGCATTTACACGCGGGGTTCCACGATTCGTAGACCTATTTGTCGACACTAAAAACGACCCTTTTCGGGTCCAATATCCGTACAAACCTTTCCGGCGCGCTTACACGAGTGTCTGCTGGTAAAGTGACACGGTCGATACGCTCGCTTGCTACGTCTGCTGTCGACCGTGTATCCAGTTCTCTATAAAGAGTGCAATATTGCACCTGCTCAGGTCCGATACCACCCGCCGCGGCCGCTTATTCGAGCCAGCCGCATGACCCGGAATAATTTTATTAAATTAATTGTATGACTTTTATTTAATGTTAAATAAATAATTTGATATTTATTTCGTGTACATTTATATAAAGATCCGGGTGTCGGTAGCCCCGACATACCGTTTCAAAATTTTAATTAAATAATTGTGTATTCATATTATGTTAATCTTGTTTATAAAACGTATAAAAAAAAAAAATGCGTAAAAATATTCCAAAAGTAACCAATAATAAATAATTATAAATGGTTCTATGAATTTTATAATAAATTGTAAAAATGTGTTATTTATTAAAATTTAAATGGCTTTCATTCAGTCAAAATTGGTTTTAGAGTCATGATTAATTGGTCAAAATGACTTAAAAAAATCAGTCTATCCGAATTTGGTATTAAAAATACCGGTTGCTATAAAAAAAAATAAGTTGCATTGCGCATGCGCGTACCGAGAGGGTTAAAAATTTCAAATTTATCTGAAAATGTGTATTTATATACCACTTACTTGTAAAAAAAAAATTCGATTTATTCCAACATATTCCGGCCGAGAAATTCAATGTTCCCTAAATTGGTAAACACACGGTATATATATATATAGATACATATAGGTGGGGAATAGTAAGTTCCTATATGAGAGTAGCAGGTAAAGAATTACATACGTTAGTTCGGTAGCTGATAAATTGGGTCCCGGGAAAATAAAAGCAGTAGGTAAGTTGGGTCCCACGAAAAAAAGGTAGTAGGTTAAGTCCAAGGTAAACAATTTTTTTTTAAACATCTAATAATTTTTATTAGAAGTCAATTTTAATATTATTGTGTTTTTTATTGCATTTTCGTTAAAAACTTAATAGATACGAATTTAAAAAACTCAAATCGACGTACAGTATGCAATGCACGCTCTGAAAGAAACGAGTAGGTGGAATCGTTCCGATTCGTTCCTCCTCTGGAATCGTTCCAAAGGAATGATTCGTTCATGAACGACCCATCACTACTAGTAGTAGTGGTTCAAGTCGAGACGTTGACTTGTGCGTTGTTTTAACGATGTTAGTCCGCAGGATTAACTGGTACAGATAATTAAGTGTATTTATTAAAGTTGTTTTACGTATGAATATTTAAGTGTTTTTATTTAATTAAAGTTAACAATTCGTTGCCACACCGGAATAAATGTACACGTATACGATTAAATAATCAGGAACTTGACGACCCGAATATCGTGATGGTCTTGGAAACGTTGAGTATTATACAATATGAACTGCATATACGTCTCTTATATCATGCGTTCTACAGTATTCGCCAACGCAGCCGCATACGTGACAAACAATTCCTAGAATCATCTATCTATTTTAAAAGAGTTCAAGAATTTTGAATTTATTTTAGTGTGATGACAGGGCAAGTTCAATATACCTTTTCAGCTTTATCTCCAGTTTTAGTAAAAGAAATACTAACAGTATGTGTTTATTATTATTATTTAAATTGTATTGAATTAGGAAATTAAAATTGTATATTTAAATTTTTCATTAAACTTCAGTATGAGTAAAGATTTAATATAAAATCATTAAATTTACTGGGTAAAATAATGAAAATAAAATAGACATTTTAATAATATTTAAAGGGAATTTTTTCCACTATCCAGCAATAAATGTGATATAAAGAAATAATTAGAAATTATTAATTATTGCCTATTACAACGGCTATAAATTTGAAATTAAATTTTAAAATCTATGATTATTTAAAAAAAATAAAGATTTTAAACACTAAATAAGTACTACAAACATTAATGCATGTTCAAAGAAAAATATGAATAAATATATTTGTGTAATAACTGAGTGTACAAATATCTTAAAATAATAATTTTTGCTTCTTAGCAAATAAATAGGATATTTACAGAAACAAATTAGCAACAAAAAATAATAATTTTACTTATAAAAACCCATTTCTTCATAAATGCTTACAGCCGCGTGGGTGTTTTAAATTGACTCATCAACTTTTTATCTGGTGGTTTAGTGTGAACAATAGTTAATGGAGGTGGTCTTCCATAATTATTAAGCATTTTTATTCTTTTTTGAGCTGGAGAATATTCAGATTGAGATGTATTGGATGTCTTCATTATAGTCGTGGATAGTTCTCCATATGACCTATTAAATGCATTTTTTGAAGTGTTTAAGCATTGATACTTTGAATCTTTATTGCATATCTTTGTTACTTCTATATTTTTATTACTAATATCATTGAGTTTATTTTGGCAGCATTTGATAAAATCTTGATTCTGTTAAAAAATTATTCATAATTAATAAATTAGTATTAAATATTGACTTATACTTACTTAAATTATTTACATTAAAAAATTATAAGATACATTAAGTATAAAAATGCATAGATTGTATAGCAAAATGTATGCTTTATTTTTTTTTTTAATCTAATATAATAATATTAATTATATAGTTATTATATCCATTTAATTTTTAATTTTATTTACATTAATTACATTATAATAATTGCTCACAAATGTAATCAACACACATTAGTAATAATAATAAAGTATAATTTAAATTTATAAGATAAGGAATATGTAATAGTTGAAAGAAATATTGTTTAATGTTTATTTTAATAAAAAGAAAGATTAAATATTTGCTTTAATGTTTTAAATTTTAGAACCAATGATTTTATGAACATTTGTTGAAACTAAGAACTTAAATATTATAACCTTCATGGTATGATTTAATATAAGATGAGATTTAATCAATTTTTAGATATTTTGAAAGTAAAAATGTAATGGTCATTTTAAAGGAAAATATTTTCTCAAGATTATGATCTTGATCCAATATCTCTAGAATATTTATGAATATAAAATATGATATTCATAATACACTACAGATGAAAAACAATATTACCATTTATTTATATAGGAAATGTTTCAATATAATGATGTCAAAAAATATTTTTCAAATACTTACAAAAATATCTAGGGTGACTAATCATGGGCAAATCCAGATTTGACAAATCCGAATTATTTGGATTTGTCAAATCTGGATTTCATGAATTATTCAATACAGTTTTTCTGTTCAATGACTCATTTTTATACTCACATAAATGTAGTAAAGGTTAAAAATAAGTTAATTGAGTAATCAATCATGATATCACAGTAAGCCATTGAGATATAAAATAAACTCAATAGTTTAATAACTTAAAATAAATTATAAAAACTATTGAATTTATGATAAATATACTGTCATCTTAGAATATAATATTAATTTATTGTTAAATATTAATTACAATAAAATAAAATAATTTATTTTACTAGAAATTAAAACTAAGTCATGTAACAAAGTCACATAAAAACCAAATTCATAAATCCAGATAATCTGGATACTTCAACAAATTTGAATTTGAATATCCGGATATTTGGAAAATTCAGATCTACGGATTTCATGCTCATACCTAAGGGTTAGCCAATGTGATATTTCAATAAAAATAAATAGATTAGATTAGATTAGATTTTTAACTAAATATGAGAAGCATCATGGTAGCCTGAAACGATTAACTCCACTATTTACATTATTTTGAATTTATATATCTTCATATAATATTCTGTGTGTATACACAGAATTAGTACTAAGTAAAAAGTAAAAATAAATTTCAAAGATAAAAATTATTAAAAAAACTCACTTCAGACTTTTTCATAAATATTTTATAATCATTAAATATTTTTAAAATGTGTTCGGCTTTTGGAATAGTTGTAAATGAAGATTGTTCAGTATTGTACAATTTAGGTATAGAAGATTTTGGATTGAATCCTTTAAATTGGATATTGGTTGCAAATATTATACTTCCTGGTGACATCAAATCATCACATCCATATTCCTAAGGAATATATAACATGTAATTTAATGTGAATTTATAAATTAAGTTTTGATAAATTACCTTAATATCACCTTGAAATAAAATACTTATTATATTCATTTCTTTGTCAGATATATAAATTTCATTACAAAAATTTATATTTTTATTGATATTTGAAATTACAATACCAACAAAATCTAATTCTCCAAATAATGGTAAGTAAGTACCCAACCAAATATTTTTGAAACTTTTTTGAACTTCACGTTTTGCATATTCAGATTTAAATCCTTGAAAATTAAAACGCGTATTCTTGTTTGCTGATATTTGTAGTTCGCCATTTCTAAAAGTAATATTATAATTTGAATTAAAACTATAAGAATATTGATTTTATTTATAAATTTTCATACTTAAATCCATTAGTAGTAAGATGATAGAATTTACAATATTGGCCTTCACAAGATTTGTTTAGAATTGTAGAGACGTCTTCTGATGGATTCCATATAGAAAGTATAGCAGATTTTAAACCAGTAGAAGCATATTTTTCATCAACTACCCGTAACTATAAATATTAATAGTAGAACAATTATTTTCATATTATTATTATATTCATTTATTATCTTTATAATATCTAATTGAAATAATAAATATAAATTTTATTTACCTTAAACAGAGGAATAACTTTACGATCATTCTTAAATTGATCATTAAAAATTTTATTTACTCTTTTTTGAAGTTCATTATAAAATCTTTCTTGCTCAGATTTTTTAAAATTATTAATAGCATCTAGTTTTTCTTGACTAAGCAATGACTATATTAGCAAATTAAAAAATTATATTATTAATTTTCTTTAGTATAGACTAGTGGTGCGCAATCTGGATGTTGCCAATAATATAGAACTAAATGAAAATATATAAATATTGAATATATAATTATGTTGGTAGAGGGTCATAGATTAAAAAAAGGCTGTACACCACTAGTATATATTCTATATTAATATATTTTAATGTTAAAAACTATATAATTACTTGAATTTCTATAGGGTCTATGGAATTTTCAATCAAATTACTTAACTCCTCTATACTTAATTCATCTACGTTTTCTTTTTTAATCCTTAGAAAACATTTTTTTGATTTTTTATTTGTAGAGGCCATTTCAGAAATCATTTCGGTTTCTACCTTATTTGAAATAATTTCTAATGACTTTTGTTTAGATACTTCATACTTCTCTGCTTCAATAGCTTCTGCTTTTTCATTTCTTAAAACTAAAACAATATATGAAATATTAAATTAAAGATTTCATAAATATATTATAATAAAAATATACAAATATAATAAACAACATAAAATGGACATAATACATACTAGATTTTGAATTTGTTCTCCTTTCAAAATACATCATAGGATATTTTCTAAGTATTATTAGGGAAAGGGATCCTATTATTCCACCACGTGGTAAAACTGATTCTAAAGTAATAGGTATAGGTAATGAAGCATTTTTATAGAATCCTAATTTAGTATACCAGCGTACTCTTCGTGTACTATTAGTTGAGATTTTAAGTTTTATACCATCATGAACCTTAAATATACAATTAAAGAAAAAGTTAGTGAAATAATTAAGTAAATATTCAATTAATTTTATGGTATTTTTAAAATCAATATAATTTAAAAATATGGTTAGTACCATCAATCTAATTTTATTAGAACAATAGGTACCCATGGTATTAACATTAAGGCACATCAATAAAACTATTTATTTATTACTTATAAACTATTACAAAGTAGTTAAATATTTTATGTATACTATATAGTATGGTACTACTAAATAATTTATGGTAGTACTGTATAGTTGAACTAAATTGCATTAAATCTTTAAAAATCAATTTGGTTTTGAATTCAAACTCAAAGATTTAAACACTTATAAATTAAATTATTGAGACTAATTAAGTTCAAATCTATTTTATAATATTTATATTAAAATATAATTTATTTTGTAAAAAAGTAAGATTCACATTTTAATTAAATAAAATTATAAAATTGTTTTGTATAATATGGGTTTGTCAAACATAATTAATTTTGTTATAATAATAATAATAATAATAATAATTATAAATTATTTTTTTATATATTTTGGACTTATTATATTTTAAAAACAGTTCATTAGTCAATAAGTTCAAAAAAAAAAAGAGAAAACTTTTACAGTGTGATAAATCATAGATATTTATTTCAGGGAATATAAACGGATCCGGAAATGTTGAGTCCGTGTTTCATGTCCGAAAACAGTATTCAAAATTTTTCAGGTTTTGGTGTTCATGTCCGAAAATGGTTAATTTATTCTAAATATTATTGTATAATAAAGTAAAAGACGAACCCCAACAATTTCAATTAAGAAAGATGCAGATAATTATATATTGTACTTATTTTTATATTTATTATACTTTATTAAAGCATGATAGAAAATAAATTATTAAAAGAAGATAGAAAAGACATATTAAAAATATTCTTAGAAGAAAAATGTGAATAAATGTGAAAAAATATATAATTCAACTAAAACAAAATTCATAAAAAAAATTCAAAATTTCATAATGCAAATGATACACAATCCATTAAGTTGTACAAAAAAATATTTGATCGATACTATAATCTCTCTTTTTAAATAATATATTCTATACATAATAGAAATAAAATATATTTACATCTAATGGATCAATTCCTTCTCTGGCACCAATAAGTTCTGCATTGCAAATCATAAGTTTAGTACCAACTTTAACAATACCTTTATGTAAAAGTACATTCATCTCATAATCAATAAGTCCTTGGATACGATACCAGCCATCGGTTAATTCAATACTAAAGATTTCAGCAATATTTGTCTAAAATAAATAATAATTAAAAGTACAAAGTTCCTAAGAGTTTTAATTTGTAAATATTCAAAGTTAAATTATTTAAAAATACTATATATATATAACTACAACTATATTATATACTTATATAATAAATATTTATAAATAACCATCAATAAACAATTATAATCTCTTAATTTTTATCTTAGTTAAAACCATTTTAGACTACCATAGTAACTTAGACCATTGAGTATAAACATAAATGTATTGGCACTTGTAGTTTAAATGAACATGGCTTAAAATACTAAAAAAATGAAAAATTACCCATCTGCAGTCTAGATATGGCTTAACCACAGTTGTCAAATAGTATTTGCAGTTAACCAAGTACAAGAAATTTGTCATAGGATTTATTATTTTTGTTTATTACTGAAATTCATTTACCTTAATTTTAAAATAAATGTAAGTTCTTAATTTTTAAATGTTGAAAAAATAATATAAATACATTAAAAAATAAAATTTAAATGTATTATAAAAAAAAAAAAAAAAAAAAAAAAAAAAAAAAAAAAAATTGAGAGTGTTAACACTCATTTTAATAAAAACACTAGTTTTTTTTACATATTCCAGGACAAACTGATATGAAATATTTTAAAAATAAAAATAATAAATTATGTCTTTTATAAAATAATTCTTATAATTTACTTAATTATTATTAAAAACTGAATATTATTTTTGTTCTATTTTTAAAATTAATAAAAATAATATATTTAATAATTTTTAAATAACCTAATCTGTAAACAACAAAGAAAAGTAGGTACAACTTTTAAAGCAATTTTATATTTCTACCATCCCAAAATGTGTTTTCAGAAAAAAAAAATGTAATTAGATAAATTGTGATACATTTTATAATATATTACACATATATAAATTTTATATTTAATATTATGAAATATATAAAATAAACTTTTACGACTTACTTTAATCACTTTTGAAACACATAGTATAATTCTTTTAGTTGCACTTTCATCTTTTTCAAGAATCTTTTTTAATGCAGATCTTTGGCATTTTTCAATTTCTCTATAATATCTAAACAGTAATTGATGTAAAATATTTTCCGCGGTTAAAAGTCTAAAAATGAATAAATTAAATTTTAATAAATAATAAATTAAAACAAAAATAAGTAAATAGTTAATAATATTTACTTAATACATAAATAAATAGTTTGTATATAGAAATAAATAAATTAATGTGTTACGTGGAATATTATTATGTATGTAATCTACAACCGGTTTCCATATTAAAAATTCTTCATCAGATATATACAAAGTCAATAAAAGTCACAATTATATTAAATTTATATACACCTGTTGATGAATTTTTAATTTGAAAATCAGTCATACATTACACATATAATAATAATCCAGACTACGCATTAATTAATTAATTTATTTCTTTATAGGTATAAAGTATTTATTTATATATGAACAATTATAATTAATTTATATATGAATAATCATAATTAATTGAGAAAAAGATAAACAGAATTTAAATATTTTTGTATTCATTTTTTTATATTACTTGTTTCCAAAATGATTAGGAAAACTTATTTGGGTTGCAGCAAGTTTCCAAACTATTAAACTAAAATGATTTTCTATCCATTTTTTTGGAACAAGTTTAACGTTGACAAAATGGTGTGACAAAAAAATGGTTTTTATATCTTGAAAATTATAGATTTTATTCTTACATAAATCAGATAATTTATTATTCCTATATTAAAATAATTTAATTAGAATACCTCTAATACAAAAATAAGAAAACCAAAAGTTATAATATTAGTATTTACCAAAATAACTTCAAGTTGAAGGCATCGTCAGTATTTAATTTGAGTATATCGATGTTAGATCCATGTTTGGGTACCTGAAAAAATTACACTATAATTAATGTATGTATTTCAATTTTTCATAATTTAATTATAATATTAAAATTGTTACTTTTAACTACCATGCTTGTATAATAAATATTTATAACCATTGGGATTAAAATCAATGCTTTAATTAGAAAAAATTAAATAAAGAAGCTTAATACAATGATTTAAAAACGGTGTTTCAAGAGCAAAATTACTTATTAGACTAGTGGAAGGGTTTCTCCCTAAAACCCCTTGCCAACAAAGCCAGTATGGTCCATGGAGAAGACACAAAATAGTACATTAGACTTCAATCTAATAAACCTTCTTTACATATTAAAAATGTTTAAAATGAAGCTCTTTTAATATAGAATGCATGGTAGGCCTATTGAGTCAGTCTGGCATTGCAGTCACCACCATCTTACCTGAATATTAAATACTACATTTAAATATACATATTTCTAGTATCCATATACCTTAAACATTTACATATAAAGTCTATGGTAGTATCATATAAACAAATAATAGAAAATAATATAGGACCATACCATACCATATTTATTGATATAAACAACCATAAAAAAAAAATATATATATATATATTAAAATAAAAAGTAGTAAAATTCATTATATCTTTGACATAATTTTTAAAGTTTAACTTAATTTTTAATAAAAATTATTTCGGACATTAGTTTGTAGCATCCCCCTGACCCAGTTTAAAAAAATAGTTGGGATACGCAAAAAAAAAAGTAAGGGTGCTTTGTTTCCCTGCACACCTCCCGCCAATTTTAGCAATGGTTAAAATATTAATTTTAGCATACACAATAAAAATAAAATAAATACAGTAAGTTTTTAATAAAATACTCATCAAATGTATAATATAATTTAAAAATAAATAGATTTTAATTTTCTATACAAAATATTTACTGAAAATATAATATTCATATTTTACCTTTAAATTTTGTGTTTTTGGTGTAATCCAGTCAACAGCTTTTGGTAATAATACTTTAGGTCCATTTACTTTTTTTGATAAATATACATCAAATGAAGTCTTTAATGCATCATTTTCCCATTTTTCATCATATACTGTTCTTTTAAATGTGTGATTGATTTCATAAGTAGGGCTACCAGGGCGTTTATTACTCAAAGTTGGCTTTGATTCAATTTGATCTCTTTCAAATTTTTCAATTGTATCAATTAATGATAAATCTTCAAGAGCACTTTCTTCATCATTTTTTAAAATGTTTAACAATTTTGATTTTGAATTTTTATTAACATCCAATTTTGGGCTATTTAATCCTTCATTAATATTATTACTATTAATAGTAATGTCTATTGTTTCTGAAGAATTATTAAATAATTGTAATCCACTGAAATCATCATTTAACACGTATTCTACTTTTTTTATAGCTGAATCTGACACCTTGATAGATTTACCTCCAGCAGTTGAGAACCCTTTACATATATTAAGATTTGTGATGGTTTTGTCATTAACAGAAGTAGATAAATCATCTAGTTCATCTGTTAGTATAGATCGAACTTTTTGTAAGGCATCATCTGATACTTTAATAGATTTACCTCCTGCAGTTGAAAAACCATTAAATACATTAGTATTTGTAATGGTTTTATCATTAATTGAAGTCAAGGAATAATCCAGTTCATCTTTTAATAATGATTGTGCTTTTAGTAAGGTTTTATCTGATACTTTGATAGATTTACCACTAGCGGTTGAAAACCCATTACATACATTAGTATTTGTAATGGTTTTATCATTTGTGGAAGTCAAGGAATAATTTAGTTCATCTTTTAATAAAGATTGCGCTTTTAGTAAGGTTTTATCTGATACATTGATGGATTTACCTCCAGCAGTCGAAAACCCATTGCATACATTAATATTTGTATTGTTTTTATTATTAGTAGAAGTCAAGGAATAATCCAATTCATCTTTTAGTAATGATTGAGCTTTTTGTAAGGCATCATCTGATACTTTAATAGATTTACCTAAAGCAGTCAAAAACCCTTTACATAAGCTAGAGCTTATATTGGTGTTTTGGTAAGTAGTTGTTGAAAAATTATCTCTGTCATTTTTTAATGCTGATTGATTTGATTTAGTATACAATTTGTTTTCTATGTTATCTAATAAATAATTTTCTTTTAAATTAACTTTGTGTTTAATAACATTTATTGGTGATTTTAACACTGCATTAGGTACAATTTTATTAACATTAAGGGAATCATTGTTTTGATCTTTCACATTAGTTAAAGAAAATACATTTTTACTATTATTGGTATAATATTGCTGTGTCCATTGGTCATCAAATGATTCTAATGGTTCTGTCATATCACCTATCTCACACATTTGCGTAATATCAGCTATTTCACACATTTGCGTATTTCCAATATCATTAATTACCTCAGAATCTAAAAATTTATGTTTTGAATCACAATCATAGGTTTTTAACTCATCATTTTTAAGTAAGTTAGTTTTATTATTTTTCAATTGATTTAGGGAGGTAAATTCTCCTTTAAAAGATAGTTTATTATTTGATTTGATTTCAGTCAATAAATTATCTTCCATGCTTAAAGCTAATTCTAGTAATTCATTTTCTTCTTTTGTATCATCAAGTTTTGTAGAATTATCATTTCCATAAAGAAAAACAGCCAGTTTATTTTTTTTATTATCAGCTTTATTACCTATTTGTATATTTTCTGGAGAACTATTATCAATAATTTCCGACATCTGACATACTTCTTCTAAGATATCTAAGGAAATATTAAGAGAATCTTGATCATTATTAAAATTGGATACACTATCAGTCTTTTCATTTTCAAACAAGCACCTTTTAGCTTTTTCATTTGTGTTAATAGGTAAAATGGGTGAATTTTGAGCATTACATTCACTGGTTGATTCTTTTATTGGCTCAACATTTTTCAATAATTTATCAAACTTATAATATCGCTTTTCAGCCTTTTCATTTTCAAACAAGCATCTTTTAGCTTTTTCATTTGTGTTAATAGGTAAAATGGGTGAATTTTGAGCATTACATTCACTGGTTGATTCTTTTATTGGCTCAACATTTTTCAATAATTTATCAAACTTATAATATTGCTTTTCAGCCTTTTCATTTTCAAACAAGCATCTTTTAGCTTTTTCATTTATGTTAATAGGTAAAATGGACGAATTTTGAGTCTTACATTCACTAGTTGATTCTTTTACTGGCTCAACATTTTTTAATAATTTATCGAACTCATAATATTCCTGTCTATGATTAAAATTCGACAGTGAAATATCATCTATTTTCTTAAATGAATCTTGACAATTATTCACATTTGTTTTTCTTGGGGATGCAGATACTATTGGACTGAGACTATAAAACATTTTAATAACAAAATAATTAATAAATAATAAAACTGAAGTCAATTCTATAAACATATAAATCTCCAAACAATATATTTTAAATTAAAAATTATAACTAATGAACAGCAAAATTAAAGAAATACTACGGTCGGTGGTGTAGGAAGACTCGCCAGTGCCTCTAGTAAATTGTACAACAAAAAACGCTTTATAACCAATTAAAATTTAATGTTACGATATTTTTTTAACCTTTAATTTTACTAATTTTTTTTAAGTACACAATTTATATTTATAAGTTGTTATTACAGTGTTAATTTTAAACTTGGAAAATTTGCTTTTCTCACTTTATGACTAGCAAATTCATCAATAATTTCTTCATATGAAATTTTTATTTAAATGCCCTTGTGCTATTTTTATAATTTCATCATTAAATTAACACAAAATGTGTATAAATAGAAAACATCAATATATTTCAAAAAGTATAATGGAAAAATTTCAATTTGATTGTAAGATAAAAATACAACTTTTGCACAATTTTGCACCCCTTTGCAATTCGCGACCCTAGTGTAGGCACAGTTTTCCATACCCTTGCTACACCACTGATTAGGGTATAAAATACTGAGATAGTCTGAAATTTAATTTTTTGGTTGGTTTAGTAATTAAGGGTTAAGAGCTTGAGAACTGAATATCTTGACAAATTGGCAAAGATTGAAGGAATAGTAAGAAAATGTATGAGAAGGTTGTAATTTTCAGCATCATTAGTTAAAATTTCTAAAAATAAGTTTTTCAATTCTCTTTAAAAATGCTACTTAGGTTTAAGGTTGTACAAGTAAATTGCAGATATTATGGATAGATCCAAGATAAGATTTTCTTTTGTTTAGGAATTGACATTAAGATCCTATATTGTTTTAATTTGAACTTTAATATTTTTAAATAAATAACTTTATACAAATAAATCTTTAGAAATATAGATGATTAAATTTAATTATAAAAATCTTACTTCATTATTGTTCTTGGATCTGTTTGAAGTTTGTTTAAATGATGAGTATTTGGTGTTGATTGTAAATTATTACATACATTTAAATGACTTAGTGATTTTGTAGGATGAATAATTGGAGAATCTACTAGAAGTTCTTTTTTATCTTGAATTTCCTAGAACATTTTTATAATAGTATTATATAAATTCATAAATATTAATTACTACTAATGATCAAGTAAAAATATTAATCAAGCGAAGAACTTTCAAAAATATGTATATTAAAATAACATATAATTATATTATATATTTTATAATAAATTATATTGTATTCATTTAAAAACATAAGTTTTTATTATACTCCTAATATCCTTAGTATTTTAGTGGAAACCAATAAATAATTTTTCAAAAATGTCGTTATCGTGAATCAACACTTTTGAATAGTTCATAAGAACCATTTACTAATTACATTTTTTAACTATACATAAAATAAATTTGACAATTTTGATTAAATTTTAGTAAGATAAAGTTTTAATTTATTCGAGTATAAAAAATTACAATCAACAGCAATTGTATATAAAGAAATTCAAACAGTTAGTATTAATTTAAATCAAACTTAATTTTAATTTTTTCAATCAGTTAATTGTAACCATTATATTTATACTGTTCTAGTAAATTAATTCACTATCACAGTGTAATAAAAATATTTCTCTTGAATATTTTCAATACATTTTAATAGCATTTTAATTTTTTTGATTTATGAAAATTTTATATGTAGGATGGCCAGTCTTTTATCAGATTAATTTTAATAAAATTAAATTATTGATTTATATACCCAATACCATAAGTCACACCTATAATAAAAACAGAGAAACTTATTCAAATTTTGAATTAGTAATTAATTTTTATTAATATTTTAGTTGGGTGGATAGAGGATCAACAACATACTCGTAATTTAAGAGTTAAAAATTTTAATATTGTTATATACCTTTGAAATTGTATTCAAGCCATCTATATTTGAAATGGAAAGAATATTACGTTTTATTAGTTCCATTTTTACATTAGTAGACATAAGTATAGGACTTTTGGGCCTTAAATAAAGTTTTGGTCGCTTTTTCTTGTCCATCTGTAACAAAAAGTATTTATATAACTATACACACATATATACCAGAATAACCATTCAAGTGATAATATAATTCTTCAAAAAATATGTAGTAAGAAATGTATAAATATTAAATGGCATACATTTTAAACAAGATCATTTATTTTTAAAATATTGGAATCTTAAAATTAATGATTATTATTATGAAATCGATAAATTTAAAAATGTATTCGAACTACTAAAAATATCATTGTTTCCAGTTACATTCTGAGTGAAATGGAAAACCTATTACAATTTATTATAAATACTAACAATTATAAAAACTTATTATATTTACTAAGACATATTTTTAATTGAACATGGTATCAATTTTTCCTTTCTTTTTTTTTTTAATAGAAGAAATACAGTAATAGATTTCTATAAAAATAAATCAATTGATTGACAATTTTATTTATTAAATTTTTTTTTTTTTTGGTAACATTTTAAATTTTTTGGTAATCTAAGAATTAATTAATATAAAAATATCCTGATAGTCCATATTGGGATAAACAGTAGACTCTCATTGATCCGGACATCATTAGTCTGGACTTCGTTTAATCCGGAAGGCCATTTATAGTACATAAATTACACTAGTTTATCTAAACTATCTAAGCATTGTCATTAAATAAGTAGAAGATAGCAACAAAGAAAACATATGTGCGTATTATGAGCATCTAAGGCATCTCCGTAAGTTAATCATTAAACAAATCACTGTGAAAGAAAGACAACCAGAGATTAGCAATTTTTTAAACCACTAAGGATGTTAAGTATGAATAATGAAGGTAAGCCTTAATATGTACTGTATTTATTATGTAATGATTATAATACATTTATGTACTATTTTTTAAGTTTAATATTGTAAGACATACATATATATTAGAAAAAAACTAGTAGAATAAAATACACTATACATTTTCTTTAAATTTATAATTTACTATTTTTGGTTAGTTCGTTTAATCCGTACTTTCATTAATTCAGACTACCTAGAGCCCCGATTAGTCTGGATTAATGAGGTTCTACTGTACTTGTTATTTCTTTAAAATAAAAAATTAAAATATTTTTCATGTAGGAATATCATATAAAAAATAGAGAGGGGCTAAATTAAAATTAGTGCTCAATTTTTTTTTTTTTGAGGTAACAAAATTTGATTTTGCCTAGTGCACTATTTTTGCTTGAGCTATTTTATAGAAAATATAATAGTATAGGAAACAACATATAAAAAACATATTCAAGTCAAGAATATAAAATATATTCAACTGTTAAATATACTTATAAAGGCTTTTAGATTATTAAAATGATAAAAATTGATATTAAGAAGGGGAAAAAATTAATTTAGATTGATGTAGGTGTTTTAATTAAAATAAAAATACTATTAAAAAAAGTATTAATTATTTTCTATCTGTATTAGATACAAAATATAACTACTTATTATTTTTTAGTCATAAATGTTTTAAATATTATATAATAGTTATTCTATATTTTATATAATAACCTTACTGAATTCAATAAATTGTGATATAAGAAAATCATAAAACTGTCACCATTAAATCATTATTTTATCATACATTGGAAAATGATAAATTGTCCTTAAACATAATATTTATATATAAAATATAATTATTTGATTCAAGAATATAGTGTAACTCAACTCGGATAAATAAATAGACTTACTATGCTTAGTGATATATTAAAATGATGCAAATTGCAGAGATTTTAACAAAATAAATTGAACATTTTTGAAGTCTGAAAATTTAAATAATACGATACCTATCAGCAGTTATCAACTGTTTATATCACCCTAGATTATAAGAACTTTATAGATAATAAAAATACCTTATCATGGATTAAATACTAAAGAGTGATATTGACTAAAGAATAATTTATTCCATAAAACAGTTTATTCAATAATCAATGGTAATCAGTGCCGCAAAAACCGGGTGTGCAGTGTATCGCGCACACAGGCCCCTAGGCTTACATACATTTGGGGGGCCCCCTAGTCCCGGCTTAAAATAAATTACATTTTACAAACACACAATTATTTAATAATATCATATTATTATTTAATAATAAAAAGGAACTTTTTTAAAATTTATGTAAGGATGTTATAATATTCTAGAGTAATATAATTAATTAATTATTTTAATTAATTAAATAATGAGACCATTGAGTATTTGAGACAGGGGCTAAAATACTGTGTACTCTGACACTCTTTGTGTCCCTTGAAATGAAAGTGTGTCCCCTGAATGATAAATGCGTGTCCTAAGTGTTTTATAACGATTTTTTTTGTTTTGATAATAGAATTAAGTAATAACAAATATTTAGGAGTTTCAACACAATTTTATTATAATTTTTATTTAAAAACAAATTGAGAATCATTATCGATTTTTGAATTTTATACAAATATCGAGTGATAAGCACTCGTCTTATATCATACACTTTAGCGGGATATTTGCAAGAGCGGATCTAGGGGGGGTTCAGGAGGTCAGCTGACTCATAGTTAATATTTGATGACAAAATTGGCCTCTTGGAAATTTTTTTCTCTTTTTATACCTTGATTTGGACTCTTGGACAGTTAGCCCATCGGAGTTAATTGAAAAATGAATGAAATGAAATTTTTCGATTCTTAATTTATATTTTATATTATATCGTTTTAGTAGAAAGTTAAGTACCTAAATCATATTTTATTCCGTACGTTTGTTGCGCTGATAAAATTAGATTATATTTATTAATCGTAAATAAATCATTATCGGTGGTATCACTAATTCTAAAATATAATATAAATATACTTCTACACTTTTATGAGCATATTGTGTTTTTTTTTTTTAAAAGGTATTAATTTCTAATTAAATTTCATCCCTAATAAATGGCCTCTTGAAATGGCTTGACCCACAATTCCCCGACTCTGAATCCACCCCTGGTTCCCAGAGCCGCATTTAGGGGGGATTTAGGATGATACAACCCCCACATGTGTTTTTGCTATAGAAATTTGTCGAAGCCCAAAAGTAACAGTTAAATTAATAAGTGAGTCCTCTGAAATCAGATGTATTTTAGGTCTTGATTAGAGTAAGCATACAGCATACTTACTTAAACAAATTTACTACATAAATATGTAGTGAATTATAATATACAACAGTTGTAGGTATTTAATTTGATACATATACAAGGCAGGGCAAGTTAATGATTTTTTTTAACTCGTTAAGTTATTTTAAAATAATAAAGTTAAGTTAAAAGTTTTTAATTTGCAAAAATAAAAAATTGCACACAAAATACTAGTTTTTTTACGCTCAAAAGAAAATTACTGGGGAAATTTAAAATAATACATAAAATTATTAACTAGCTAATTAATAACTAATTAATTAATAAAGAAATAATAAACTTTTACAGAAATATAATAAGCTAATAAAGTAATAAACTAATAACAATATATTATAAATTCTAACGAGATGTGAACATAATACATGCTAGTTAAATTATGAAATCAAATTGGAAATTATACCACAGTTGTTTTGTGATTAGTCCCCATCGACACTCGCTCTCAAGGTATTTACTATTTTAACAGAATATTAGGATTTCCATGGGTTTATAGTGTTTATACAATAACAATGTTATAAAAATATAATGATAAAATATAGCCCATATAATGACTATTAAAGTTATTTTTCATATTATTTTCGTCTACAGGAAATTCATATTAAAATAGTAAATTATAAATATACTAAAAACCTCATTTATAAATTTCTCCCTTGTAATTTGAGATATAAGTTATTAATGGACTCAAAAAAATCTGTTAGGTACTTATATTATTTATCGGTTATCCGTTACTGATACCCGATAACGGATATAAAGAACCGTTCGATTATTTTTTTTTCTCTAAGTTTTAAAATAAAAATAATTTAATCAATAAAAATTGTAATTCGTAATAACTGCTTGCGCTTCCCCAGCATTGTATACACGTCCCCCGGTTTGGGAACCAGTGGTTTAGACGTAAAAGTCTAAAAAAATTATGCCTACTTAGAATTATCAAATTTCAATAGGTACTATAAAAAGATTTGATTTCATCGACAAATATTCTAGGTTATTCTAGGTGGGAACACATTTTTGATATTTTTTTTTTTATAATTGATCTTAAATCATATTTTGATATCTCAATTTTTTAAAATTATTTGTGTTTTTTTTAAACAAGTTAAGCAATTATTCAAAAATCGACTTCTACAATAACCTAGAAGAAATAGTGATGAGTTCAAATATGTTTACAGAATTAAAATCTGATCATTCTCAGCATATGCGTAACTTGGAAATTTATTAGGGGGGCAAAATTATAATTACATATCTAACGAAAAGGGTGTCCGAGGCTAAATTTCGCTTTACTACTTACATATTAGGTATTATATAAAATTATTCATTTTCTAACATTATGTTAGATAAGCGAAAATTTAAAATTGAGATTTAAAAAAAAAAAATTTACAGTAATAGCTATAACTAGAGCACTTTAGAAGTAGGTATGTGCATCCGCCATTTTGTGTGTAAAAGATTGTAAGATTATAACCTATTATCAAAAAAGGGTATGTAAAATTGATAAAGCTTATTAATGTTTATCGCGATAAATATATTCAACAGTTAACAAATTAATACCAAATAGTAGTTGTAGAATATGATTAATGAGTGTTGATTTATTTATTTAGTTTATAAATTATAAATTAATTAATCAAGGAATAATAACTTCTTAATGTTTTATATCTGATTTCTATGCAATATAATTTTTGTTTAATTTTTTGTAGGAAAACAATCATGACTGCAATAATTTAAAACAGAAAGCTGAGCAGGAAATAACTAATTTAAAATTAGAAATGAAATTCTGTCGAATACCAGTTTTTTGAATTTTTACACCTAAATCTTTCCATAGTGATCTGTTTTCATTTCCCATATCAGAAGATAGTGAAACAATTTTCAAACCGGCATGTTTACAAAACTCTATGCAATCAAAAATAAACTGCTTAAATAATTCAGGAGCAGGGGCCCCATCTGTGATATGAGCACCGATTACTTGTTTCCAATTATTCTTTACACTACGTAGTAACACTATTAAAAGTTTATTTCCATTACCAAGAGTAGTCTTTCCATAACGTTTACCACGGTTCTTATCATATGATTCTTCACAGCTAATTTCCATTTCATCAAACGAAAGAACACAGAATCTGTCTTCTTTCTCCAACTGTTGAACTTTATAGCAAAAAGGTTCTAACATTGATTCAAACAATCCAAATTCTAATGTAAGAATCTGTAGTTGACGAGTTATGGTGCTATAACAGGATAATGGAAAATTAATTTCTCTTAAAAATGAAAACCATGAACGCCAACAGCAAAACGAATTTTTAATGCTTTCATAATTGTTTCGTTGTCCCATTTCTATACTCATAGAGCCTTACTATAACCAGCTGTTTTGTACTTATTTAAAAACAAGATATTTTTAATATCAGAGGGGGCACTGCCCCTCCTAATTTATTCTAGGAAGCAATTGCCCCCCTTTCCCCCTCCCCAGTTTACACCTATGATTCTAAGTTACCGTATTTTTGTTAGGCTTTAGCTCTCAATTGATTAAAATTAGTTTCTAGTCGGAACGAAATATTTTATTTTAGTGCGTGCGAAGCACTAATTGTTTCCCGGAAACGTTCGATGCCAGCACGTAACTATATTTATAATTTGGTATGTCTATGAAATCTTTATTAATAAATAAGTTATTGTACTTGACAAATTGCCCTGAGCAATACCAACCAGTGACGATTTTTTTTTTTGTAAAATTTAAAATTCAAACTCCTATTAAAAAAAATGTTTTACATGAATTTGCAATATTTTTTAATCTATTTAATATATTTATCTATATATATAATATATAATCTATTTATATAAACATGCATTGGAAAAAAAATTATTTCTATCAAATGAATATGATTATATGGATGTGTATCAACATAAATTTGGGGGGCCTATAATTATAACTGCACTGGTTCATGAAAAACCTGTGGGTACTACTGACTGTAATTGTATCTATACATAAATACCAGCTGTTTCTGGATATTATTTTTGATGTTATATTCATATAGGTTGAAAAATATTATCGATAAAAAGACAATAAACATGAACATTATTGAAAAATTTCTGATTAATACTTTACTCAGAATTTAAATTAAAATGTCGTGCCTACAAATTAAAAGAAACGAAAAAATATGCATTACAGAAAATGGCATCAACACACATTTGATGTTTTTGAAATGTATAACAAATCCAAAAATATTAAAGATATACCGTTATGAAAAATTATAAAAATATTTTTTTAGTTTAGTTTTATAAACGTATTAAAAAAAATTAATAATTTATCTATAAGTATAATGAAATATTAAAATTTAATAATTTTAGAGTTTTTAATTTCTTTTTCTGTCACGACAGCATTGACTGCTTTGCATTTTATTCAGTTTTGCGTTCTAATTTATTTAAACATTTATATTTAATTTGAATATTAATACCGCCATTTGTAATATTTTTCCAACATCTTTGATAATTGAAATGCTTTAAAAATTGAATTGTTTACTACTAGTTGGTTATCATTGTTATCATACATCTTGAGTATTTACTGTCTACCATCTATAAAAATAATTGTATCTCATTATTTGTCATTTTAATTGGGTGTTATAACTTTTAAGCTTCCGTCATTTACCAATTACCAATTTATTTATATTTAATTTTTTACTATTGTATATTATTTCTTAGAAAATGGCATTATAATATTATGTTTGTCATCAGTCAAAGTTGAATTATGTCAAAATTGTCATTGTTTAATTACGCATTTATTTATGTAAGTATAAAAATATTTTGAAAATTAAAAGATTCTTGTACTTTATTTTTAGTTCTTACTGTATACAGAACTTAATTAGGGCTGGGTCATCATAACACAACTACCCCAAAGTTTTAATAATAAAAAAATCTTGCACAAAATGTTATTCAGACTGTCCATAGGTTACATAGAAACTAATATATTTATTTAAAACGTTTTTCTTATTATTTTCCATTGTGTATAAATATAATTGTTAAATAATATAAATTAAGTAATATTACTTATGGTTGAAAATAAAAATCGTACATCATAATAATAATTGATCAGATTAAAAAAAGGTATAATTTTTTATTATAAATAATTATATGTAGAGTATACTTAATTTAATACTCTTAACCTTTTGTATGCTTAATTTATAAATTTTTTCAAATTCTAATTTTCAAAAAATGTATATTTACCACCTTTAAGCTTGTTTTTTAATACATAATTATTTTATACCTTCTAAGGTGTATACTATAACAATGTCTAATTTTGATTTCAAAAGGAAACACCAATTTTTTTATGCTTTAATTATTCCATTAACTTCTCTGTAATTTATTATGTATATGATCAAAATTTGGTCCAGTATCTAATTTTTTAATTATTTAAATTTAAAATTGTTTGTATAAAGTATATAATTATTTGAATATTGATATTATTGGTATAGGAAATGAGATTATGCAAAAAACGTTCTTATGATTGATATTTATTAATTTTATTTTATCTCTTATTTTTTTAAACTTACTGTCCCAAGTTATGAATTATATTCTATTTGAAGCTATAATGTTAAAATAAATTATATTTCTATATTTTGATTAGTTTTTTAGACGTAATATGTAGATTGTAGGTATAAATGTTTATACAAATAGTTTTATATCAGTAGTATTTTCATTTTTTTTTCTTTTATAAATATCTTATTTTTAATTAATATAAATTATACAATTTAAAGTGACAATATTTTTTAATATAAAAAATTCAAATAATATTCTAAACTGTTCATAAATATAGTTATTTGAAGGTAATAGTTAATATTGTTTACTAAGTCGACAAAACAATTATAATAAATTATTATTCATATATATATAATATAATATAATATTATTATTTGTTGAAATAACTTGTATTTTACGGTAGTAGAATATTACACTTAACAAAAGTAAAATTTTAATTACTTATCATTGGCATATGATGATTGAAAAATAAGGATGAATTTTTATTTTAATTCTGATAAAATTTCAATGTTTTGTTTTCTAAATGGTAAAATTAGGCTGGGAAATTTATTATTTATGAATTATACCACACTGAACAAATGTAAATTTACCATGCTATTTGCCTTTGAGATGTAAAATATAATAATAATGATTATTATTATTAATATTAAAATACATATATCTTTGTTATTCAGCCAAAAATTACTTCAAATTTCCAACAAGGTATTCTTTAGGATAAAAAATAAATAATTTTAATATGGCTAAAATTTTATTTATATCCTAATTAGTATTATAATAATATTTTTGATATAATGTATTAGTTTTATTTATAAAAATAAAATCGGCTAGAACCAAAGCCCAGCCCTATTTTTACATTCAAATTAGATTGTTTTAATTTGGAGTGATTAAAATGTATTATGCTTCTTCAATGAGAAACTAATTTTAAAATTAATAATTATCTAGTGTTCAATACTATACTATAAAAGTAATATACTATATATCTAGTGCTAAATGGAATCTGTAAACGTCGAAACTAAAGATGAAATTTTGCAAAGGCATAGAAATGAGAAAAAAGATATGCAATGTAAGATTCAATCAATGAAGAAATCGGTAGCAAAAGGTGATCGAAAGAAGAAGAAGGAAGTTGCTGAGCAAACTGCTGAAATTGAAGAAAAATTAAAGTTGAAACATTTGGATGAACTTAAAAATAATTTTACAGTTGAAGAACCTTCTCTTATAAAAAATCTGCAAGAAGTTAAAATTAATGATGCTACTCCTAAAATTAGTAGAGCTGAAAAACGACGTTCAAAAAAAATCACTCAAATGAAAGAAAGGCAAGCATTAATAGAAGAACATGATATTAAAAACATTGGTGGTATACGACATGTTGAAACTCAAACTTTAGTAAAAAAACTTAAAAATCTTGGGTTGGTTATTTTTGATATTCCTTCAGACGGTAATTGTTTATATAGTGCTATTGCACATCAACTTAAAGAAACGTGTGGAAAGATTATTACAGTACCCGAAATCCGTCTTAAGACTTCTGATTTTCTCAAATGTAACAAAGATGACTTTATTCCTTATTTAAGTCATCCAGACACTGGTGAAATGTTAACTGATGATCAATTTGAAGAATATTGTTATCAAGTGGCCAATTCAGTTCAATGGGGTGGTGAAATTGAACTCCGAGCTTTATCACATATATTTGAAATGCCAATCAAAGTAATTCAAGCTGAAGGATCTGATATCACTATTGGAATAGAGTATACTAATTGTAAAAAACCATTAATATTAGTGTTTCATCGACATATGTATGGTTTAGGGGAACATTATAATTCTGTTTGCTCGATTTAGTGTATTCATGTTTTCAACTGAATGTAACTAATATTGGTGAAATATACAATACATTTGAAAAAAAATTGCATTTTTTAATCAAAAATGATTTGTATCGGAATATTACCATGGATTTACCCAAAATAGATTTTAATCTCTATAATAAATATGATAAAAACAAAAATAGCTAATTTATGAATGTAGATATGAATGCCTCTATTGGCGATAAACAACATATTAATGTTTTGGTCGGCGGAGAGTGGATGTGTAACATTCGACTGTAAAAATAACATTATTATTATAATAATAGCATTATTGTTATAAATAATGCATAACGTACCCTTTACAGATTATCATTTTCTATCGCCAATAGTCTAATTATTTCTAAATAATCATCAATTTTTAATTTTCAAAAATAACTTTTGTAAAATTTTACAAATATTTGGTTTTCGAACTATCGTGGCCAGTAAGTCTGGTTCGACAAATATTTTCAAGTTCGGTTTTCGAACAGTAAAAGATGTTTGATAGTTCGGTTCGATTTTTTTTCATGCCTAGTTCAAATTTCGAACCGAACCGAACATCAAGGGTTCTGTTCGGTTCGAGATTCGTACAGTTTGATCCATCACTAATATACAATTATTAATCATTTATTATACAGTTATAATTTTTTGTTTTATTAATAATTATTAGGGTTATGATTTTGATGACTTATGCATTTTTTTTTCATTTGATTCTATATAATGCTATCCTAGCTAAAAATTTGTTTCATGCTCCCTTGATGCAGAAAATTCTAATTTTATTTTGCATTTTTTTGCATATTTAGGCATTTTTAGCTATAAAATTTTTTTTGTTTTTTTAATGTCATTTTTCAACATTTTTAAGTCATTTTTTTTATCTTATGACGCGGACCCGTGCGGCAGCCGTTATCGAAACGGCAGTCGCCGACCGTGTCCTTATCTTTCTCATCAACCGCCACTCCGCGGCACGCAACGCCGCAGCGACCCCCGTCCACCCATCTATCACCGGACAGGGGACGCGAGCGGTCGCTACGACGTCCGACAGGTACCACGATATAACCGGGCTGTTTTTCCGATATCGTGTACCGAGACACAACTCACGTTCTCGACTCACATAATTACCTTTTTCTTTTATTGTGACATTTTTTTTACGGTGGACGTTATTGTGATTATTATTATTATTTTTTTTTCTTCTCTTCAACTTAAACTGTGTGTCCACATAAATATACATTTTGTGTCACCATAAGCCGAAGTTGTTTTTTTTTAATATTCAATTTTTGCCCACCGCACCGCGACCGTGCACACACACGCACCTGTGTGCCGCGACACTTATAGTTCATGTTTTGTATTTTTTATACAATGTTAGTCATTTTTCTCAAATTTTAGATTTTAGAGCAATTGGTAATAATTTTATATAATATTTAAAATGTAAATGTATAATATTGTTTATTAATATTAAAATGTATGTTTCATATTTTAAACTACTACACACCCATTATCACACCCATATCTTTAATAAAAATTATTATAAATATATTTTTTTAATTTAATTAGTTTTTTAGATAATTTTTAAGGTAATTTTTTTTGAAGTTTTTAGAACATTTTTGTACTTTTTTTAGGGCATTATTGTGTGTTTTTTAGGTCATCAACATCTTAACTCTAATCTTTATCTATTAAAAATTAATAATAATAGATCGAAACAACTAAATCACTAGTTTTTTCTTGCAGTTATAAATATAAATATTTTTAGGAAATTATTGAAAATAGTTTACTATTTTAAAAATACAAATATTACATTGTAACTATTACATTTACTGAATAATTATTGAATTATTATAAACTTAATATTTTCTTAGATATTTTCTAATATTTGTTTACTTTTAAAATATATTCCTAGAAAATTAATTAAATCATTTTTAATCATAATTATCTAGTTAAAGCTTATAATATACTTAAATAGAAAAATTTGAAGTATAATTCACACATTTAATTGAATAATTATATTATGTTCTTATGATAATTATCTGTATATGATTTGGTTGTATTAAAATTATTTAAATTAATGTATTGAAAAAAATTGTTATTAGGTACAATATAACTTTTTGTAAATTAAAAAATTCCATTAATTTGGTTTGTAATTAAAAATAAAACTTTTATTTCTACTTGCCCTTAAATTGGTTCTGTGTATATTTTACAGTTCTTATTCTAGTTAGGAAACAAAAAAACTTTATTTTTCAGCTTTTAGAGTTCATATTAGTATCTTCTACAAGTTCTTTTCAAAACATTCTTCTTCATTCAATAAGTGATACTGTTACAAAAAATAATTTCACCTATTATACACTACATAATAGAGGATATATTTCTATTGTGTTAGTTTCAGAGTAAGTAATCATTTAACTTTTTGTATTTATATTTTAAAATATATTTAATTATTTTAATTTAGAGAAGGAGACGCTGATTTATATATATCACAACCGCATATATCACATCTTCCTACTTTTGATCCAGAATCATATTGCCTTCAGTCTACTACCTGTGGTGTTGATATTGTGTATATATCTAAATGGTAATTTTACAAATTATTGATTTATTATTAATGAATAGTCAGTTTTATTTTTATTATTATTAATTTAACAGTTTTATTTTTAAATATTTTTTAGTTAGGGAATTTTTAATAATTAAATAAATAAACTAATACTATTATCAAAAGTAATTTTATTATTACAATAACTTAATAATTTGAAGTTAAAGAAGCACTGGTATGTTTATAGAGTTAATAAGGTTAATATTTATCTCTTAATGAAATGTGCCTTTTATTCCATCTACTTGACTTTATTATAGAAACTAAATTATATTATATTTTTATTTGTTGTTGATATAATTTAATTAAATTATAGTTAAGATATAACTGTTTAATGATTTGAGTATTTTATTGGATAATTAATTAATTTATGACATTTAATAATTGTGCCTCTTTACTGACAGTCATATTGTATCATGAAAGTAATGCCAATTTTAACGGTTCATTATTTTATAATATAACATTTTTATTCATTTAGTGTAAAATTAAGTAGTATGATAGTATAGTATAAAGATATTAGCATAAATAGGCAATGTAAAAAATATAATAACTATTGAAAATAGTACAAATAAAGTCTATAAGAGTATTATATCTCTTCATCTTTGCAGTCTGACAATTTCTGTGCTTCCCTAACCCTAATTTGGACCTATATTTTATAATGGACAATAATCATTATTTAGCAATTGGAAAATAATATTGTTTCCATTGTTTTTAATTTTTCAACAATTATTAACGAACATTCTTTATTATTTTATTAAATATATTACAGGTTTAAACGACCCATTTATCTTGGAATTTATGGCTATCCATCTAATGATTTTTCTAGATATAAATTAGATATAATTCAAAATTCAAATCCTGGCGAAGAATTTAATTTAAATTTATTTGAGTGTGAAGAAGAAAATGAAACTCAAACTCTAAATATTGAGGAAAATGATGTAAGGACACATTTTATTTAGTTAATTATAATAATACAAATACAATTATAATTTTTTTTTTCCATGTTCTTGCCCAATGAAAAATAAACTATAATTGTTTTATAATTTTTTATATTATACATATATTGTAATTTTTTAATCAATAAAAAAATAAAAATAATAATTAAAACATGATTATTATTTCTATATATATATATATATATATATATATATATATTATTTAAAATTTTCATTAAAATAATTATTTGTTCTGATATTAAACACTATTGTGTTTTATTGTCATAATTTTTTATAATATTGTTTTAGGAAATTCATGAAAGATCTGAAACTAGAATAGAATTTTTTTTTTTTGGCATACCCTTTCAATTAATTTGGAATTTTATTAGTATCACCATTGAAGTATTATTTTTATGATTCATTTTTTTTTTGCAAATATTCATAATGTTGCCATATGAAAATCAAATGTTTTTGGATATTTTACATGAGGATGCTTTAGTAATATGTGCTAAGTAAATATTCTTATAATATTTGATAATATAATAAAAAATATATAAAATTTCTGACCAAAAAATGTATGTGTACAGGGGTCTTGGATTAGAAACTGTATTGTTGAATATCATTAAAGTATATTGTGACCCTGGTAACTTAGTACTAGTTATTGGTTCATCTTCTCATGATGAAGATTTTTGGATCACTCAATTAAAGAAAGATGGTGTTAAACCATTACCTAAAGTACTATCTGCTGACACTTCAATAGCTGAAAGGTAATTAAACTGCATTAAAAAGTAATTTAATTGTATTTAAAATATGTGTGTACATTTCATTTTTATACACATTTTATAGAGAAAAAATTTATCTTCAAGGCGGAGTATTATTTGTTTCATCAAGAATATTAGTTGTAGATCTTTTAAAACATAGAATTCCTATACCACAAATTACTGGTATTTTGGTTTGCCGATGTTATAATATTTTAGAATCTTGCCAAGAAGCATTTGCTTTAAGATTATATCGCATGGAAAATAAAGTAATTTTAATATGTCTATGCATAATACCTTGATGTATAAAATTTTATTAAAAATTTAATAAAAATAGGTGTCAAAAAATCCAATTTTATTTTTAAGATATAAATTGTAAAAATTAAGAAATTAAATTTATATTTATTATATTAAAATAAAAATGTTTGATAATAATATCTTTTTAGCTATTTTAAGAATTATAATTCATTTAACGAAGGAGAAATTTATTTTGAGTTCATATTTAAATTTGTTACTTCTATTTTGGCATTAAAAATATATTTTCTAATTTTCTTGTGCTATAATTATAATTCTGAATTTTATGAATTAAAAATATTAATTATATTTATATATATTTTTATTTTATTTTTTCAAATAATTATAAATTTTGTCTTTAAGAATTTTAAAACTCCCAACGTACTAAAAATTGTAATAAAATTATTTTATTAATTTAAAAAAATATTTGTTTTTTGATAACTATATTATTTAAATTTATAAAATGTCCTATTTAAACAAATAATATTTAATAAAATAATAAAAAAATTAAATAAATATATACTTTATATATAGAAATAAATAAATAAAAACTTAGCCTGGAGTGTTATTATATATATATTTATATGTTATTTATGTGTTAATGAAATTGCAACTGAATATAAAAAAAAAATAGACGAAGAAATACATTAAAATAAATTCTATGTAAAATGATTTTTCTAAATTTAAATAGATTTCTCAATCTATTCTTTTATTTTTTTATATTCAGTTGGCTATTTTATTTATTTTTTTCTTAATATTCTGTCGCAATTTTATTAACCTTGTATATATCTGATGAAGAATTCTTAATTTGAAACCGGTTGTACTTTACAAATATAATAAAACTACATCTTAAGCTTTTATATAGTTATTTATTTCTGTATGTAAATTATTAGTTTTTATCTATATACTATATTATTATTATACTTAAGTATCAAACTATGATGAGATATTTTTTAGACCGGATTTATCAAAGCGTTTTCCACATCATCACAATCATTTACTTATGGATTCACAAAAATTGAAAGAATTATGAAAACTTTGTTCGTTCCTAAATTACATCTCTGGCCTAGATTTCATCTTGCTGTAAAGTCTAGCTTAGACAAAATAAGTGTAATATCATATAATTAAGTTTTAAGTGAATAGTATTACTATTTATTGAATTTTTGATTTCAGCCTGAGGTTATAGAGTTACATGTAGAATTAACACCAGCTATGATGGAAATTCAAACATCTTTACTTGACCTTATAAATTATTCAATTAAAGAATTAAAGAGACTCAATCCTTCTGTATGTGTTTAACAATTTTAGAATCATTATTTCAAAGTTTTCTTATGATTATTAGTTTGTTTATAGCTTGATACTGAAGAAGTAACTGTTGAAAACAGTTTATCAAAATGTTTTCACAAACTTTTACAAACACAATTAAATCCAATTTGGCATCGATTAAGTAGCACTACAAAACAATTAGTGTCTGACCTAAAACTTCTGCGAAATTTAATGATGTTAGTATAACTTATTTATTTACTTCTATAAAATATAAATATGTGTAAATTAACATTGTAATTTTTATATAGTTTTTATTTTCTGTGGAAATTGATTCATCAATATTTTAACAAAATTTATTTGAAGAATATATGTTATCAATTTGGTTTAATTCTTTAATTTATCAAATTTGGGATTTCATATGTAATTCAGTTCTAATTAAAATATATTTATTTTTAATTTATAACTATATATTTTTTCTATAACTTATAATATCTTAGGTCTTATTTTCTGGCGCAAATCCAGGAGAGAGATATTCGTGAGCGTCATGTAATCCCCCATCCCCCCAAAAAAAAAAAAAAAATATATCAAAATTAGGTTCATTGTGTTTATTTATAAATTAAAATATGCAATAAAACAAAGGAGATTAAAATTTATCATTTAATTTTAAAAATTAACATTAATTAATAAAGTTCTAATTTTAATTAATAATTTGCTTTAACTATTTTTTAATTGTATATTATATTTTTGTCCATTAGATAATTTAAACCCTTCCCCCAATTATAATTCTAGATACATGCCTGATTTTTTGTTAATTATATACATTTAAAAAATATCTTAAAATAATTATAAAAATATAACATAACAAACACAAATTAATCTCAAATATTATTAAATAACATAATTATTACTGTATCAAAAATATACATACACTCTATATATTTATATTTTTTCTAGATCTTTGACATCTTTAGATTGTGTCCGATTTCAATCTATGCTAGCAAATTATTCTTCTGTAGATTATGCACATCGTAGTTCAGGTTGGTTATTACTTGATGCTGCAGAAACATTATTTGTAACAGCAAGACGTCGTTTGTTCAATTCTAATAAAGGTATTTCACTGTTTTCTAATGCTTATAGAAATACTTCAATTAATATAAATATTTATAATTTAACTTAGAAATTTGTCCTGAACCTAATCCTAAATGGGAAGGATTAACAGAAATTTTAAAAGAAATTGGACAGAATTCAAAAAATAATGATGAAATTGTATTAGTTCTTGTACACTCTGCAAAAACTTGTTGTCAATTAAAAAATGTAATTACATTTTTACATATTTTGAAAACATATATACATAGATACATACATACTTATGTATTTATAAGTTATGTATAATAATATTGCTTTGTGGTTTATGTAGCTTCTTGTCAAAGGAGCAGATACTTTACTCTTAAATTTGTATAAAACACATATTAAACATAAACCAATAATACCAACACAGAAGAATGCAACTGATGAAAAAGAAATGGAAATATTCGATGATATAAACGATGAAGAATTAATTGAAGAAGATTTTAACAATTGTTTTACTTTAACTCAAAATAAAAATGAAGATGGATTGACATTTACTGAACGTGTTAATGAGTCTCAGGTATTTTTTTCTATTTATATACAATAAATATTTATTTGCAGTATGTTTTCAACAATTACAATTGTTAGGTAATTTTTGTATAAGTAAGAATATGTAAAAATGTAAACTATTGTATTTTTTTATTTATCAAATCATATTGAGTTTTATAGCAATATCTAAGAAAATTTTTCTAATTATTAAAATTCTATTATCAAGTATTTACCGTAAATATCATGTAATAAAGTTTAATGATTTTACTTAAATAATACATTTTAATGCAACATTATATGAACTATAATAATTATTATAACAATTTGTTTTAGAATGAAACATTAAAAGAACCTATAATTGTATTACAACAGTATAAAAAGGACGGAGATTTTCTATCTCTTCCTCGTACTTTGAGAGAGTTGCAACCTAAGTATATTGTAATGTATGATGCAAATATGACAGCAGTTAGACAAATTGAAGTATTGTTTATTTTTTTGAAAAATGTCAAATACTTAATAAAAATATTTTATTTATTTCATAGGTATTTCAAAATTCAGAAGCCAAATTAAAGATGACCATTTATTTTTTAATATTTGCTGGATCGACTGAAGAACAAGCTTATTTAACTACTCTTAGAAGAGAAAAATTACTTTTTGATTTTTTAATTAAAGAAAAAGCTGTAAATATTTTTATTTTTAAATAATTATTAAACATTATTTTATTATTGAATTTGATACAATCATAGGTTATGGTTGTACCAAAAGGTCAAGATGGTAAAGATGAGGATTGCCCTGAGCTAACTCGTGATTTGGGTGTGCACCCATCAGAAATGTTAGATGATAATGATGATAAAATATATAATCCTGGTAAAAAATCTGCCAACAAAGAAATTCCTAAAGTTATTGTTGATATGCGAGAATTTAGATCAGATTTACCTGTATTACTTCATCGTCGAGGCATTGATATAGAACCTGTCACCTTACAAGTATTATATTTTATTACATTTACCATTTTTCAATATGTATGTTATTTTAATTTCTTGTATATTATTATATTTTTTTTTTTAGGTTGGAGATTACATTTTGACACCAGAAATGTGTGTTGAGCGAAAAAGTATTGATGATTTGATCGGTTCTTTAAAATCTGGTAGATTGTATCATCAAGCATTAATGATGTGTCGTCATTATGTAAAACCAATATTACTTATCGAGTTTGATCAAAATAAACCATTTGATTTACAGGTAATTAAATTGTCTTGCTTAATTCATCATCATCATCATCATCTAAAGGCCTCACCTTGTCTTGATAGCCATAAGTCTCTGTCATTTGCCATGTTTTTCAATTTTGAATATGTTGTGAATATCTTGCTTAATTATGCTCTAAAATTTATAATTATTCAGTGTCATAACGGTATATTTTATAAAAAAATTAATTGTCTTTGCAATGAATGATTTACCATAAGTGGTGGTATTTTACTATGATACATATTTCCTTGCAACTAACTAATTGGTTTCGTTGCATTTATTTTTAATATGAATACTTTATTTTTTTTATTTTACTATACAAAACAAATTATTTACTTAACAAAAAATAAATATAAGATTTATAATCGTACATAATCATTATACAATCTAAAATGAGATTGTTGAATTTTCTTGTGAAAAAATATCACAGAATATGTTAATAGTAGGGGTTACTAAACACAAAAGCACCATACACAGCATACAAATAAATAAATATAAGGATATTAAGTTAAATATGTTCTGTTCACAAATATGAATTATAAATTAAAAACTCATGTATATGTATGAATGAAAAAAAAATCTCTAATTATTAAGTGTTTATATAAATAATATATTTCAGGGAAGATTCTATCTTAGCAAAGATATGACAACTAGTCATCGGAATGACATAACTTCAAAATTACAATTGTTAACATTACATTTTCCAAAGCTTCGATTGGTGTGGTCTCCTAGCCCTTTTGCAACAGCAGAACTATTTCAAGAACTTAAGGTATTTATAACTTGAAAATAAAAACGATCTTGTTTAAAATTAATTTTATAATTTAAAATATAGGACATCTTCTAATTTAAATTTCTTTGTCTAATATCTTAAATTATAAATTTTTCATATGATATCTTTTATAATCTTTACATTATATATATTTGTGTTGAAATAGGAAGGGAAAAATCAACCAATATCAACAGAAGCTGCTGCAATTGGTTTAGAACCAGGTCAAAATTTTGATGAGGAGCAATACAATGCTATTATAAAGGTTTTTAATAATCATAATTCATATTAATCATCTAATGGGTTATCAATTAAGAGGATGTTACATTCTCATGTGTTGTCTCCGTTTGACATACGTAAAATATACCAAATTTGCGTTCAGTGATTCAAATGTAGTGATTATAGCTTTAATATAAGAGTAAACTGACCTATAATCAAATTTTAAGAAAAGAATATTTGTGTTTTGTTGGTCAGTTTTTTCTGATATTTTAATTTTTTTAGTCAGTTAACTAACCTAACCTTGGTGAGATAGAAATACTAGGCTTATATCTAATGCTATATCTTTGATACTGTTGAGGGAAGACTTGTACTTAATACAAAAATTTAAAACATTGCTTTGTTAAATGATCAATAATTTTTATTGAAAGTAGCTGGCAGAGCTGATAAGTTTTTTCCAAACTGAAAGTCTAAGTGGAAAGTTTATAACTGTAAATATGAATCAATAAGAATATCTTAATGATTATTTTTCTTATATGTGGTTTTTATTATTTCATAAAAATACCATAATAATATCATATGTTTATACTTCGGAAGCTTACAGTTGTTATTAATAATATTTTGGCGACATGTATCATGGTAATATATGACACACTGGTTGAAAACCATGGTTATAGCCTATAGTAACAGTGTATTATGATTGTGATTGTGAAAATTCAGGATGAAAACATAAATAAAAAACCTAACTATAAAATTGTATATTTTGTAATATTTATAAATAATTATTTTATTGTAATCTGTTTAACATAATTTCTTTTTATTGTTTTAGGATTTCATGAGTAAATTACCTGGTGTTACTACTAAAAATATATTGAACTTATTGAATAAAGGACAATCACTGACGCATATGTTAACTATGTCATTGCAAGAATTAAAAAACATTTCTGGAAACTCAACAGATGCAGAAACTTTGTATAATACACTACATAACAAATTAAAACCAACCATTGAACAATCTAATATTAAGCCTCAATCTGGAAAAGAATTTCGTGCAACAATGGGTAGAAAAAGATTTAAACATACTAATACAAAGCCTAAATGATAATTTTGTATAAATATCTTATAAAACATTGTTTTTTGTTAGGTATGTTTTTTTTTTTTTTTAAATTAATTTGTATAAAAACTAATTTATTGCGTTTTCTTATATTAATGTCATGTGTGTGTTATTTCATAAAAATATGTATTATTTCACATAATATTGTGTTTTATTTTGATGTATAATTTTTTTTTTAAATCAAATAACATATATGAGATTTAGAATAAAATTGTTTTCCACCTTTTCTTTTATTTTGTACCTATGTATAACTTTAGTAACCATCAGAAACTAATAGTGTCATGTAATGTAATGTTTACAACATCAACTTCAACCAATTTAAATAATTTAAATTGTATTTAAAAATGTAATAAGTTTATATTTGAAATTTACTAATAAAAAAAATGTGAGTACTATGTAATGTAATTACAATATTTTGAATTAAATTTAATGTATATGAAAAGTGTAGTTTGTTGTAGTGCAGATATAATATTCTAAATATATAAAAATATAAAATATAAAAATTGGATATACTCGTATTATTATTTATTTGTTTCTTTAATAATGCTTATGAGCAGAAAACTGACCTTAAATTAATAATTGCCGAAAGTATAATATTACAGGAAAAAATTTCTTTAGATCCATACAGCATATAGGAGGTTGGAAAATGTTTCAAGACTAAACTAAAATTTGATTCAAATAGCAATTTTCTTAGTCAATATGTCTCTATTGCACGGCGCTTTGCATAGGCAATTTAGGTGCATCCGTGTGCACAAATTATTATGGTTGCTTGGTAATGGATTATTGACGTTAATTGGTCAATCGTCGTATAAGTGTAAATTATGAACGAATGGACAATGACCATTGGTTTCCAAGCTGCGACCGGTACGTAACGACTGAACATTGCGTGTGTACTGGTTTCCAATAATATGACTGCGGCAGGCATTTATTTTCAGTTTAGTGTAGCTCGATGTTTCGTTGTGCACACTCGTATTTTTTTTATAATTTGTCGTTCACAGATTACTAAAAATGGAACAAGTGATTGCTATTAACAATAAAATAATCATACATTTATTAGAAGAGGAGGGAGAAGGAGAAATAGTGTATATATCAAATATGTATAGGAAGCCAATAGGAAATTTGTATAAAACGAGAGAAAAACAAGGCTTCTTTAATGTATAATATCTATAATGTATATGTATAATATCTATAATAATAAATAGGCACTTAAGAGAAAATAAAAATAAATTTCGCGAATTTTTTCGGAAAAACTATGATAATTTTTATTTTATATTGGCATTAATAAAAAATGATATAAAATTACTGGCAACAAACAGAATAAGAAATCCAATTTTGCCAGATGAGAAATTAGCTATTTCTATAAGGTAAATTTATATTTTTCTATTAATCAATAATAATAATAATTATTATAATTATAATGCATAAATCGGTGGTGTTTAAATAAAATGTCTAAAAGATCAAAGTTTATATACATTATGCATATCACATACATATCTAAACATAATAAGTATATTAAATAGTTAAAAAAAATTAATAATTATTTCTGTTGTGTGTTTTTTTTTTATTATTATTAGCTTTTTGTTAATACAATTATAGCCCGAAAATTATTAGGTGGTAAAAATTACATTAAATTGAGAAAGAATACAAAAAAATACAATATTACATAGATTAGATTTTAAAGCCAGTCTCCAGTATAAAGGCTATTAATAAGTTAATGACAATTTCAGAGTTAGAATTGAGAATAGAATATAGGTTAGGGATCATTAAAGATACACTTTCGATGTTAAAAAAAAATGTCTAATGCCAATTTTTCTATCCGATGTATCAACTATTGACTTAAATTAAAAAGCATTTGAATTTTGGACCAAATAGAATTTTCCAAACTGTGTTCTTGCAATAGATGGAAAATACGTTCGAATTAAATGTCCAGAAAAAAACGGATCGCTTTTTTTTAACTACTATGATTATTTCTCGATTGTAATTTTAATAATGATCGTCAACAACGATAAATATATTGCCATTGATGCTGATTAATTTGGTAAAAAAGGCGACAGTGGTATATTTTTAAAATCTGCTATAGGTCAAAAGATACTGAATGGATCATTTTGTTTTATAATTTTAATCACCTGGATCTGATAAAGTATTACCACACGTAATAATATGAGATGAAGCTTTTAGACGACGCCCAAATATTATGAAACCATATACTCAACAATCTATAAGATACCATAAATCAAAGGCTGACGTTTCGTCAACATTGGTAATTTTATTTAAAAAGGTTTAATTTTGTTTTTGTACATTTTGAATAATAACAGCTCTTCCAGATTGGTTTTTGAAGACTTTTTAGTTATACTTGGATTTAAAATGTTTGTTTGGTTTTTGAGATTCATTAACATTTGGATCTTCAGTGGATCTCTCAGTAATATTATCTTCTTCAAATACTTTGCTAATTTTTTCACTTATAAAATCACTTTAAGAATCATTTACAATAACATTTGTTGTTGTACTGAAATATTTAAATTTAAATATCTTAATAATTTAATTTATAAGTCTTATTTATTCATTAATAAATTAATTTTAGTATGATACGTTAATTTTTATCATTTTATTTAACAGTATAATATGAGTATAAGGTTAAAAAGAAATTATTTTTAATTTTTATTAAGTAACGTTCTAATATAAAACTTAGACATAAGTATATTAAGACACAAGAAACTCCAAACAACATAGAATAAATAAATATTAATATTCCTAGATACAGTTAACAATTTAAAGTATTTTTTTGGTATAAGTACTTAATTTTTTTCGTATTCTACGTTATTTAAAAAAATGTTAAATTGTGTAGTGAGCTCAATAATCAGTATAGTTAATTTATGAATTTCAATATACTTAAGATAAGAAATTATACATGTAGTATAATTTATGATGATGTGATATAAATATAAATAACTAGAAATCCAGATCAAAGGTGAAAAACAACAAGTTGTTTTTATCTATTTGCATAATAAAGCAAACTTGAACCTAAAAGGAAGTGATACAAGAAAATAGGTTAAAATAGGTGCATCATGTAACTTACGTCATGATTAGAACCAGTATAAATACAGGTAGAGCATTTGGCATCAATTAGAGAAGGTTAAGTGAAGAGTTAGGAAGTAGTTACTTGCGTTCACATTATCACACACACGTTTCACCCATGCTTATCCATTGTCTCTAGGGAAACGTTATTCAGAAACGCACAGTACTGCTTAAAGACATAGTTTTAAATAGTTGTTTTTATTTATTTAAAATATTTACAAGTTTAAATTGTGTTTTACATGTTAATAAAAATACTCTATTTTCATTTAATATTTTACCAGTGTTTATTTTATTAAATTAAAATTTTACCTTCTCCACACGTCTTGAATTCGTTTTGAATGTGCTACGTCGTTTAAATAATTAATTATGAGTGCGTAGTGTCCTGTACAGCGATCATTACAATGATTAATCCAAGTCCATTTTTTCTTTGATAATGCTGACGATTCGGTCCTAAGTTTTTTTAATGTTTCATATACGTATCGTGTATATTACGCCATCGTTTTTTGCAATCTTCAACTATTACACACATGTGTATTGTTAGTCGAAATTGTTTTTTATTATTTATATTATATTGTTTATTCTTATAATATGTTATACTTACTACAATGCCCAACAACGTAAGATATATTTTTCCAAATTCCAATCTTAAAATTTATGTCTGTATGCTTTTCATGTACGATATACAACACTTCTTCTTGCTAACTTCTTCAATTAACATCTCATCATGAGTTGTAATGAATTGAATTTTGGACATTTTTAGATTCGAAATCGTAATAATAATATTATTAGTAATAATTTATTACACAATCGCAATGCGTCGCATACAATACACTGCTCCCAGAGTACTGCTATCGTCGAACGCAACGGCTATTGTTTACATGCCACACCGATCGCACATTGAGAACCATGAAAATTCATTTATTTATAGATCAGTCATTAACGCAGTTGCAGCTTGGAAACCGTACCTTTATACTTCTGCCGTACGTTAACTCTTAATGGCAGCTGAATAGCGTTTACACCAAATTTGCGAAAACGGATCTAAGAACTCGTTAAACGCGCACTTCTGTGCCATGTGCAGTAACTTGAGTTCAAATCTTATGGATGCTGCATTATGAACCTATCCCTCTACCATTACTTATAGCCAATATTTAGATTATACCATTATTATAATCATAACACCATTAAACGAGGTGTGACTATTAATAACGAAACTTTCATTTTAAAAATTTTTTATTTACAATTTTTAATTACATAACATTTTTCCCCTTCTACATATTTTCTGACGAGTTTGATACATTACTCCATTTGCATTTTTCATTGATTAAAAATGTGTTGAAAATCTTTTACTTGTAGTGCCTTTAATACCTCTATCAATTTTGGTTTTAAAGTTCCAACAGATTCAAAATATGTCCATCTTAATGCGTTTTCTGGAAAGAGCCAAAAGTTGCATGGAACGAGATCTAGCATGTAACACTGGAATTTGATTTTTGATCAGATATTGATGTACAAATAAAGCATTACAAGCCTGCGCGTTGTCTTAATGCATGATCCACTAATCCACTAATTATTCTAATTGCTTTTTTCTTACTCTAAGTGTTATCAAGTTATCTGTTTTTGTTTCCGATTTATATGATATTTATGTCTGGTGAGGTCTTTAACAGGTTAATTAACATGATATCCCATACTGGATCTTCCACTGGTAATCCTGACAGCAAAGGGGTTTTTTTTTATGTTGACTTAAGAAAAAAAAATTGAAAAAAAGTTATCTGATCTCTTTTATAGTTTTTAGGTATATTTTCAAATACCTTTTAAGGTATTTCAAATATTATTTTATATTTTATGGATGAGATCCAAAATAGGACACTATAATTATAATAAATAGTTTAAAATTCATAGAATTTGAGATCTAAATCGATCCATCAAATTATCATTAAATCTTTATACTATTTATTTATACTCTTTATACTATTCATTATGTATAGAAAAACAGAGTTTTTGCTGTACAAATATATAAATGTATTATTTAAATAATGATGGTGGAAGTTCGTCCTTAGTTTCTTCGGTCCTCGAACACGATAATAGTAATAGGTAAAGTTGCCAGATTTAATCTAACCATTATATTGAATTACTCTTTTTTTATTTTGATGTGAAAATTAAATAAGCATATAGTTTTGTAATTTAAATATTTATTGGCTAATACAAAAATATATTATTATTGTATACAACCATACCGATTAGATTACTATAATATAATAATATAATGTACAATATTATTCTATGTTTTATTATTAAATAAGATAATATTAAATGTTATTTTCTCTCAGCTTCTATTAACCGGGATAAACTGAATGATCGGCCAGGACACCGGGACGATTGGCAAGCTTAGTAGTAATATACTGAGTTTTAAAGAAATGATAAGTAATTTTTTTATCAAATCGGTTCTGAGCAAAGGTTCAGTATAAAAATCGATCATTTATAAATATATTTGACCATTTTTAGTCTAATTATCAGTAGGTTTTTTTTTTATCGACCTATTTTACATTTTAATGTTTGACGAAGAAAAAATTTTTGTTTTTTATCAAATATTTATCTGTATTCAAAGTTTCATTATGATTAGATGAACCAAATTTTTTTAATAAATATTTAATGTTAAAAATTGATGTAAAAACAGTAAAATCCGTAAAAATCGTTGATATAATAATTTACTTAAACGCTTATGAAATAAATTTGAGACTAACGATTTTTATCATTTTTTTAGTATCGGTAAATAAGTACTCGTAAATGATTAAGGTGATATTATATTTCTACTTAATGTCCAAAAAAAAAAATTTTATTTCATAAAGACTTTCAAAAAATTAAGTATTTTTAAAGTTCAAAATTAAAACAAAAGCGCTTTTTGAAAATTTTATCAATTACGAAAAGTAAATATCTTTGTTATAAGGTAAAAGTTTCAAGTTCCTAGCCACATTACTTTTGGAATTATGACTAAATAACTAAAATCTGAAAATTAAAAGTCTTATTTACAGTGAATTTTTCCGTTTCAGGATAGTTTTTTCCTCACGCCTGGAAAAACTATTAAGATTTAAAAAAATGACCTATCTAAAGTACCACCGTATGCCAATTTAAAATCTAAAAAGTTCCTAGAAAAAACTTCTGAACCAGTATGTCTATCCGAAAAAGTGTTAAAAAAATATAATACAAACATCATTTAAAACCATAATAGCCTTCGCTTTACTCTGAATCTAAAAGTGATTAAGTGATGAAACATTTGTGTTTGCATACGGGTAATTCGTGCAATAAATATATAAAATCAAAGTGAACTATTTAAACTTAGATTTATTCAAATATTTACCAAATATTTTAGTAACTATTGAATTGTACGTGTTGCGGGTGTCTATACCCATTAAGGAACATGAAAAAGATAGAAGGGCTTCAGCACCCCCAGATTTTCCTTTGAAATTGCGCCCCTGATTCAATCAGGCTCTGAGTCTGATGAATAATTATTAACGGAATACAATTCACGATTTGCAAGGAGGGTAGAAATTATAGATAATGTATGTATTATCTATGATATTGCGGGACAAGGTTCTTATCAGATAACTGAGCACGCGGTCGATCATCAGTCAGCACATGTCAGTGCTCAGTTTTAATTCATGGATTAACATTTAAACGTACTCGTATGTCAAAAATCGTGGTCTACACTTAACAGTGTTAAATCTCCAATGTTCGTTTTACATTATATATTTTCTATGATTTGAACTCAATATTTTTAAGCACTCTACTTACTTGTGAGGTGTGGTATTTATTGACGTTCATACCAGTGAATTTGAAATTTCTACTTCGCGTTTTAAAATTCAAACAAATTGCGCTACGTGGACTCATTCTGTAAGTATATTTTCGTCTATAGATGGTTGATTGACTGCTATTAGTTTTTGCATAATTTGATTAGCCCCTAATATTAATATTTGTATTAAAAAAAAATATATATATTTATACTGTCTACTTATTTCAGTTTTAAATTATATAAAATTTTTTTTACAATCTGATACTCGATTATAATGTATCTGTTATCAGTTTTTAAGGTGGTAAATTGTATTTGATGTTAGTAATTTTTTGTTACATTTAATTTAAAGACCCAAATTTAATTTAATTTCATACTTTTATTCAACGTAAATATTTATAATTGTAATTTCTATCTTAAATATTATGATCTTGACTGCTTTAGTGTTGAAAGCATGTATTAATAAAATAATCACACTAAGTTCTGTGGTCTTATATTTAAAATATTATATTTTTTAAGTTAACATACTTATAATAAATATAAAACACTAATGTTTGCATATTTTGTTCGTTTTAGGTTTGATGGTTGTGATAAAATCTTTATTTAATCACGACAATGATGAAGTATGGCTAAGTGTTCTAAAAGTTCTCAAGATATAAATCATTTTATTTAGTATCCTAGTGAATTATTAAGTATTGATGAAGAATAACATTACTAAGGTCATATTTTAAAATGGATAATATACTTCAAGTTTAAGTGTATTTTTTTTAGAAAGAGTAGTTGAAAAAAAATTGTATTTATTAAAATTACCAGATAAATATGACAAACAATAGTTAACATTTTTTTTTTTATTTAAAAAAAATTATTATTATAGCTATTTAATTTATTTTTTATTTATAAGTTTAAAATAAAAAAAAAAAAAGTTATAATTTACTACAATAATTATCCAATATAGGTGAATTATTCTTATATCTTTGAAGTTAATGTACTATTGGTTTTGAAAAATAATTCTGAGTGAAGGAAAATAATTGGATTAGAACCTATGTTTATAAATAGTTTACAACTAATTTTACATTACTATATTAATATACCTAAATACCAATTAATTTCATAATAAGGTTGGTTAAACTGAATTTTATGAAAAAAGAAAATAATTGTTTCGTATAAGTATAATCTTTAAAATATTTACCAAAATCAGATCTTAAAAATAATGTGTTAAATATAAAATAATGTTATAGAATCATAGAATTATAAATTTATACTTGGGTATTTCCAATTAATTATTTATGCACATCTTCATTTGGAAGGAAGGAGTGTTTTCCCTTACTTATGATAATATATATCTAAATATTATATAACACATTATCATATTTGTTATTTTTTATTATATTATTTATTAATGTTATATATTCTATAGGGCTGCAGCGTCTTTAGCCCTCTATACATAAATTTAGAAAAGTTATTACTTAAATAATTAGGTTATTAATTTAAGTATACTTGTATATTGATGCAATAGTCATACAATTGTAATGCCATTACTTTAAGCTGAATCCAAGCAAATATTAAAAAGATAAAGCATTTTATTTTGGAATATATATATTATTATATATTTATTGTTAGACTGTGTATTATAATTTTTATCAAAAAGCTTATTACATCCAACTTTAAATTCTTATTAATAATTTAATAAGGTAGATTCAATAAAAAAATTCAGCTAAAAATTACTTAACTATTAATAAAAATAATTACTAAAATAATCACTAAATAAATAATGATTTAATTTAGTATTTGTCACTACCTATGAGGTGAGGTGATTGATTACTTACAGATTGATTAAATATATGTTTATGATTTGGTTGCACCTTATTAGAATCACTAATGATTAGAAACAAAGTAATAATGAATATCTAATGATTTCATTCAGTATTCGTCACTACCTATGAGGTGATTCCTTACAGCAGCGATTTTCAAACTTTTTTAGCCATGGAGCAGTAAATTTCCTCGTAAAGCTCCAAGAAATATTTAGTATTGAGTTTTATTTGGCTGTGTTCTACGAAGCATTTAACTCATGATATGTAATTATAGAGGAGGAAACCCAAAATTTGATAGTGTACATTTAATATTATATTTATATACAATATTTCTGGCTGGGAAGTAACTAGAATGGGAATGCATATTTAAAATTAATAATTTATATTTTTCTATTGGGATTTTAATATTGTTTTATATGTATTGGTGTATTATATTTGAGTTTATGGATTCTTGTAAAAATATATACCCTCGATATTTTAAATACTGATCAATAATTATTACATTTTTACATTTTCTATGGTTAAACGAACGAAGCACTTTACGAAAAATTGCAGAGCCCTAAGGCTTCTTTGAAGCACAGTTTGGGAATTGCTGCCTTACAGACTGATAGAATATATTTTGTTGTTTTGGTTGCACTTATTAGAATCACTTATGATTAGAAACAAAGTAATAATGAATATTTATTGATTTAATTCAGTATTCGTCACTACCTATGAGGTGATTCCTTACAGATAGATAAAATACATTTTGGTGGCTTAGTTGCACTTTATAAGAATCACTTATGATTAGAAATAAAGTAATAATGAATATTTATTGATTTAATTTAGTATTCGTCACTACCTATGAGGTGATTTTGTTTAATATAAAGGTATAAAGAGAATCATGCTCACCAATTTCATGACTACTCTTTGGTCTTCAAGTTCTACTTATTACCAGCTTTATTGGCCATTGTATATATCAGTCATATTTTTTTTTTTCTTTGAACTTCAAAATTCCTTAAACCTATTTGTTAGTTTCCTTCTTCTAGCTTTATTTATTTGCACACTATCTAGATTCCTCTCTTTATCACTTGCTTAAATCGTGCTGCTAATCCTAAACCTATCTTTTCTTTATGTTTTTGGTTCTCATAACTTAATATTAAGCTCTCTGTACTTAATTATTTAAAATTTTCTTTACTATTTTATTTATATTATATCTTTAATATTTGCTTCTAATTTGATCGATAAACAACAATTATTTTAATATTTTCAATTAATGTTAAGTTTTATAAAGTTTTATTTACAATAATTGTATGGATTTGTTGTAAAATAAAATATACTTTTACAATATTGTGATGAAATATATTTTTTTTACAAAAAAAAATTAAAAATTGTATTTTAATTTTTATTGGTTGAATATTTAATATGTTAGATGCCGTTAGAACAATTGATATTTTGTACAATTTGATAATTACGAATTTCTAATTTTTTGTATAATTTTAATTAATTATTCGTCCTATTATGGCAATTCTATTCTGATTTACTGGCTGAAAGTAAAACAACCCTCAGCCCTTATCAACCAATCCTCACTGGTCCTTAATCTTAATTATATAATTTTCCTTTAATATTTGGGTCAAGTGCAGCAAAACTAGACTACTGTAATCATAATCAATGCAATTTTCATGTTTTAAGATAAAAATATTTGGTGTAACCAAGAATTGAAAAAAAATAATAATCATTTAAATTTAAATTGTTAATATTATATATTTTTTTAATTTTTCATCTAATACCACCATTCTTATTTAGCATTAATAATAAATATGATGTAACAATTATCTATTACTATAGTATGTCTATGCAGACAACCATATCATAGGCCCACATTCAGTTTAAAACTTGGGAGTATTAAAATGATCCACCCCAAGGTGATCCGTAGGGAGCAAAGCTTCCCTACAACCCCCTACAATAGTGGTTCACAACCTTTTCCATCTTATGCTCCTTGGTAAATTTTAAAAACTCTCATTTCCCCCCCCCCCCACTCCACCCCTATTAAATTACAGTTATGGTAATTTTTTAGTTGTTTGTGCGAATCAAACTTTATACCGATCAATATTAGATTAAATGCAAAAAGGTCTATCTGCTATTATTATAAAATATAATTGTTATTGATGCAGAATAATCTGAAAATATATAGCGATTTCAATTTTACACATTGTAAATGTAAAATAACAATCATTTTTGTAGTTTTATCAATTCTATATTCTGCACTGAGCCAACTCTAAATCCCCCCCCCACCTGTTGGGAGCCATTGCCCTACAGTTAATTACCATAAAATGTTTTAGTTTTACCTTTTAATTATAAATGTAGCAATTTTCAATATTATAACTAAATATTAGGCACTGCCCCAGTAGAATGTGCTTATAAGCTGTCTTTGCCTTATACTTTATATTTAATGAGAATATGAAAAAATGAGTTATTACTATGCCTACTGGTCAATTCACATAAAATTATATCATGTCTATGTTATGTACCATACATAGATGATTAAAAAAATGTCAAGAAACTATCTTAGAGAAGAAGACTTTGGTAAACATAATAATTTAATAGGTATGACCCATAGATATATATATATTAAATATATATTTAATATATATATCTGTGGTATGACCTCAGTAAATTTACTCAAGAAATAAGGATATAATAAGTTAGTGATAAATATAGATGAAAGAAAAAAGGAGAAGGTATAATAAATCCTACAAGGATTGTAAGAACTTAATAAAAGAAGAAAAATGAAGGTTTTACTAGATGATTTAGTACTGATTATTATTGGATGGGATTCTATGGTTAAATTGTCTTTTAAAAAATGTCATATTTAATGACAAAATGTCCATTTAAATGTCTAATATTTATTTATCCCCGGACTAATACCTACTTGTATAATGGGTTCTATACTGTTTTAAATATATGCTGAATTAAAAATTGTGATCTAAATAATGAATAATTTCGGTTAAAAAAAATTTGACCTATTCAATGCCGATGCTACTTCGACACAACGTATTTTAGGTATGTAGATTGATAACAATTTGTCGACCACTAAGTCTTGGTAATACATATTCCTTATCTTTACGAGTTAAATATTTAACGTTACACAACACGTCATTTAGTGAAAATCCAATTTTACTTGGAATTGTTAGCATCTAATATTAATTTAATTGTTTTAGGGCTTGGGCACCGTGTTCCACAGATTGGTCACATTGTGCCCAACCCATCGTACGGTCGCGACTTACTGCGAACGACGAATTGAGAGTTCCTGACTGATCTTTTTGTATATTATATAATTATTGTATTTATAAAATGTACCTGTTAACAAAACCAACGGTTAGTATTGTAGAATGTATAAAAATATCTATTGGATCAAAGAAAAAATGTGCTTGTTGTCTATGACTTCTCCACCTTTCAAAACTACATACTTCTATTCAGTGACACCGAAACCAAACAATTCAGGTATGCAAGTGTTTATAAAACGATGATACCTGACCATGATTGGATTTAGAGCGTAATAATAATATTTGCAAATATTATTAGATAAATAAGACACGTGGCTTAAATTCAGGGACAGTGTGTTTAACCGTGTTTGTTTAAAATTTAATATAACTAATGACTTGCTGACCGGGAGACTACCAACTCATCCACCACTGAAATATTATGAGATAGGGTATCTGCCCTACCTGGATTTAAGGTTTGGCGTCACTGCTTCTATTTAATCTGCATTTGAAAAATTTTCCATTTTTGAAAAAAAAAAAACAAAAACAAAACATAATATGTTAGCATTAAGAAATTTTAAATTCAAGAAATTAGCCGCTTTCCAAAAATTTGCCATCTTGACTTTCCATTTAAATACTACCCGATTTAATCTCTAATACAATCAACAAAACCTCGGAGTTAAATATTTTAAAGTGGTTGTACAATAAGAGTATTGGTTTTATATAGGGTTACCAGATTTTGAAATCCCTAAATCGAGACATCATATCGAATGACTTTTTTTTTTTGATGTAACGTTCATATGGATACTAAAATACATTATTATTGTAGGTAACCATGATATAATGTACAATATTGTTCTATGTTTAATTATTAAATAATACAATATTAAATTTTAATTTCTCAGCTTCTATTAACCGGGACAAACTGAATGATCAGCCTGGACATCGGGACATGCCTTAAAAACAGGGATGAATGGCAAGCATAGTTATATATAGTCTATCTACTACCTACCTATAACATTCAATGACTAAATCCTGATAATTTCAAAATATTTTTTTCTGTAAATAATTACTGAAATATTTAAACCTTATTTAATTTACTCAGAATCGTATTGTATCTACTGAGTTAGGCCAGGTTTATTTGATTTCGATGAACATGTCTGAAAATCGAGTCACAACTTGTATCATTAGTTTTGTGCCGACATGTTATTAAAATGTTCCTAAAAGATGTATTGTTGTTGATCTTAATTACGATATACACCATATTTACTAGCTGCATATTTACTACTACCCCAATTGTTACAAAAAGTTAAGCGTATTCATATGCCAAGTATGTCAGTACGTACTCTTTAATTGATCAAAAACGTAAGTAAAGATTATTTATGGGGTGGGGTTTCATATATTTAGGCATGTAATAATTATTTTTAATATTATCTATTTATTTAATAGCTGGGATTTTGGTGACGGTGAGGGGATGAAACTCTCTTAACTTCTACTGCACCTAATCATATTATGTACCTACCTTCTTAATAGTGCAGGAACGAACTAATTCATAGTCAATATTATTTCGAAACGTTAATTATTGTTAGTTATTGTTGAAATATTGTTGGATTAAAATGTTATTAAATTCCAATACTTTTGACTTTCTAAGTTCTGATTATAATATATTATAATACATATGCGTGATTTAAAATTTAATTTAATGTATTATTTAAAATAAATGTTCAATGATTTACTTGTATTTCAATATAGTTTTAATTTTGTTTAAATAATCTATATCGTATGTATATATAGGTACATAAATGCATATTGCATTACATTTTTAGGAGCACCAAACAAATCTTAGACAAAAGTTCTCTAGGTGCATGTGTGTGGTTGTCACAAGGCTTGGGGCGTCAAGCATTTCTTTAATTTGCACCAATGACCAAATATTGGATAATATTCCGATCAAATTAAATTTGTTTTCTATATATTGATTACTTTTTTATGTTTTTACTGAACACCGTACGGATTATTTAAAGAAACTTTAACGACTTTTTAGCCCGGAATGTTTTTATTAGCTCGTACATACAAATGTCCTATATTATTTGGTGTAATTTCGATTATATTTAAAGTAGAGATGAGAAAATCACAGCTCGACCCATATAATAGGTGTGAGGATTGGGGATGTCTAATTATGATCTGTACCTAAACAGGTTATTATAAAGTTTTGCATAAAAACGAATAGGTATTTACTGCAACTACGATCTTCGTAAACGAACTATGTTGATTTTTTATGAACAAATCTTCCCCCAGTTAGAGGGTAGGTACTAGTTCACGGTTAGACGATTTTGGCTCCGATTACTGTTGTACGATTGCGTTTTAAGTTTTAAATACGAATTCATAATATTAAACAAATATGATTTCTGGTCAATTTCAATGAAATGCATAAGACACGAATGTGTGCACCGGGACAGTGGTAAATCCTGTAAGCACAACGACTTATGTTGCACGGAAATGGTAGCGGATCGTGTTCAAAATATCAGTCAGCTGTTCGGTGTTTTGTTTGCCATCGACCGCAGCAACCGACGGGCCGGTAACCATGGTAACAACAGTGTGCCGGTAAACCGGTTGACCCAGTAGTCAGGGCAGCCTAACTTTCGATCCTGGCTTTGTCGGCCGTTCGGCGTGGCGTTTCGTGTCGGACCATGGAACTTACGAGAGCCTACGAGCCGTCGCCAGTGCGGTCGCGCAACCGTGTCGAATCCCATGAGACTGAGGCAGCCCGATCCTGAACGACCGGCGACGGAACTGGTTGCGGTTTGCGAACCCCTGGAAATGAAATAGGTAACCTTTAAAATTATAAACAAAAACGGTTTTTTATTACTACAACTCTACATGTATATTTATTATATACATATATATTTGAATAAACTTTCATATACATGTATGTATGTGAATCATTATTTTTTTTTTTTTTGCGGCATTTCCTTTGTTCGGGTACCCAAACGCGCCAGGTGTTTTTCACGGCCAACGGACTTAACAGCCGCCTGACGTTCACGCACACCCCTGAGGCCGTACCACCACTACCACTACCACCACTGCCGCCACCACCACCACCACCATCAGAATCGGCAGCAGCCAGCAACAATAGTAGTAGGTACAGCCACTGCCATCATTGCCGCCACCACAGCCACCATCAGCAACAGCAGCAGCAGTTGCATTGAATAGTCCCCATACTGTCTCTGTGTGTGTGTGTACATGTGTGGTTGTGTGCGCGCGCATAGGAATCCACCGGAAGTGCGTTGTCGTCGACCAAACGTGCCAGGTCCATCGAGTGAAACCAACTCTGCGTCCTAAAGGTTTTTCGTCTCAGATCTTGTCGTCTGCCGACGGATTCTCTACGTTATCCTGTTGCTCCACAGGTGGTTGCCCAAAGGATTTCGCGTGATCCGTGTCAAGGACGTTCTGTTGTGAAACTCTCGCTCAGTGTGTATATGCTTGATTCATATATTAGGTTAGGCATTCCCGGCTGCGATCTTGTCCGGACAGTTGATCAGCACCGAAACTCTTCTGCCAGCCTTCACAATGGTTGCACCGCTGTCCCGATTGCAGGCAAAGACATTTCCAGCCATGTCGTCCATGCTTCAGGAAAAGGAAAATTATGAAGAACTCAATCAGATTGGAAATGGTGAGTGGCATCCACATGGTTAACATTGGTTGTGATTCCATTCCAAGCATTATTTTTTCTATTTTTTATAATTAAAAGGTGCGTATGGTACCGTATACAAAGGACGTGATCTTGTCAACAAAGGAAAATTTGTCGCCATGAAAAAGATTAAAATCCCCTTAGCTCAGGATGGTGTACCTATGACTACTTTGCGTGAAATTGCTTTACTCAAACAACTTGATCAGCAACAACATCCAAATATTGTCAAGTATAAATAAAGATATATATTTCTAATAGGTTTTTCTTTACACTCATTCTTTCTTACTGTTTAGGCTTTTGGATGTGGTACATGGTCCTCGACTATATAATGAAAAATGTATGACCCTTTATTTGGTATTTGAACATATTGAACAAGATTTAGCCACCTATATGGCACGATGTCCAAAACCTGGAATGTCTTCTGAAATCATTAAGGTATTCTTAAAAATGTTATATATTATTAAATATGTTTAAAACAAAAAACAACTAATTTTATCCCTATATTAAAATATTCAGGTTTCATGTAGTATTTAATTAATTTTTGAGTTATTTAAAAATATATATATTTTTTAAAATCAATCTGTTTATTGTAATTTTATACCTTGAAAAGACAAAAAAACTGTATGTATATATTTATTAAACTTTAAATGTTTTATATCGAAATCAGAGTTCAGTTTAATCAGTGGTCGCCAACTGGTGGTCCACAGAAAAATTTAAACGTTACTTATAGAATTTTTTTGTCGTTATTTCCCTAAAAAATAAAACCCTAGACATGGTATTTATGTGTATAATAGATCCATTTGCAGCAAACAATTAAAAAACAAGTTAAATATAACTGAAAAAAATTGATTTATTTAATTTTTTAAATTTAGGTAAAAAGTTATTTTAAGCTAAAAGTGGTCTGTAGAATTTAGAATATGTATTTAGTGGTCCGTGAGGTCCAAATGGTTGGCGACCGCTGAATTTAATAACCTATTTTTTATTAATTCATTATTATTAAGGTTTTTAATTTAATCATTTTTATTAGATGTTCATTGCACTGCTATAAAAATAATGTTCTCTATAACATTGCAGTTGATATCATAATGGGAATTAAATAAATAGTATATAATCTTTAATATCAATTTCTAGTCTTCCAATTTAATATGGAATTTCATGTAGAAATTGGACAAAAAAAATCTTTTACGAATATAAATTCTAATTAGGATGTAAAAAGCTACAATTAAAATGTCTCTTTTAAAATGTTCATATTATATTATAAGTATTTATTTTTAACCATTGTTTGTTATTTAAATATTTCTTTTTGTGAATTGTTAGCTTAATTTCATTATTTTCAATTATAAAATAATGAGTATAAACTAGTTTTTTATTAGTTACCTACCTAATCCTAGATGTATTTTATAATGCGTTATGGCTGTACTAAGTGGAAGAGATAAGTGCCACTAATTCATTGGAAATACATTAATCAAACCTCATGATTACTTTTCAAATCAAATAAACACTATTGATAATTATTATAGGTAAATCACAATCTAAATTGTATATTAACAATTGTCACTTAGCAATGAACATAATTAAAATTATTTGTCTTCTAGTATTTTTAATATCTATAGATATACTCCCTTTAACTTAATTTTTTTCTATTCAAATCATAAATTAGAAAGTGTAATTTTTATTTTCTCAACTGATTATAAATACTAGTCACATACTATTTTTTATTACAAATATATTTAATAAATGTGACCTATATATTATTGATTAATTGGATAAATATTTTGTACCAAGTTGGCATTTTAATAGGTTTTCAGTTTTAAAAAATTTCATAACTATTTTTTTTTCATTAAACTTAATTTGTTTACACACACAAAAAAAAAAAAACAAATAATTATCAGTATAATACTACAAATGTAACTAGAATAATTTCTTTCTATTAAAAATTATTCTAGTTACATTTGTAGTATTATACTAATCTGTATTTGTTTTTAAATATTAGTCTCTGTTAGAACATAAATTAAAGGCTAAGGGGAAAAATTATAATAGCCAAAAAAAAATTGATTAATATATCATCTTGTCATTTGTTTTAAAAAGTAAATCTATTTTTTTTCTTTATTTTATAAAATATTAGTTGTATTACCACAATACATTTTTTTTTAATTATTTCATACTTAATCTCTTATTTTTTTGAGTTCTGAGACTTTAAAACTGCAATATTAAACTGTAGACATATTTGACTATTATTGTTTCTCCCTGTAATCTTTCAAATAAGTATATATTGAATATAAGTATAATTTTTTTCTGAAATAATTTAACATAAATTAAAGTATCTTTTGAAGCTAATATTTTAACAAATTAATATGCATGTAATTTTAAGTACAGATTTACTATTCAAAATATTGATAGTATATCATAAAAATAAAAAATAATATTGTAAAATCACAAATGTATTCATTCCTTGCTTTGTTTGAAATCTCAAATCAACATAATGTAAGACTAAAAATTAATTTAAAAAGTTAGTTGAAAAATATGTTATAGGAATGTGTGTTTTTAAAAGGTTATTAGTTTACTCCCATTAAGCCACTAAATAATTATGTTGTTCTATACTTCAATGCAACAAATTAGCAATGTAGCATATGGGTTTTTTTTTTTGTAATAGTTATAACCCTCTATAAATTATGTATAAATTAATTACTGTACAAATATATTATTGAAATGTTAATTTATATTTAAAAGACTTAGCTACCTGCATTTATTTAGAAGTTTTATGTATATTTTATGCCAATTTTGTTGATAACATATAATAGTGTTAGTAAGTAATATAATAAATTATTGCAACATATGTGGGTATATTTTTCATTTGTGCTGAACATAATATTATATGTAATAAGAAACATTAAATGTTGTTAGTATTTTGTAAATAATTTTATTTGCTATTATGAATTAGGTCTGTATAATATGATTCTTACTAATTTTTTTGACAACATTTGTAGAAATTATAACTTTGATTGAAATTTAATAATGATAAAAAGTTTTGTGAATTGTATGAAGAGTATGTTTTGTTGAGTCTGATAAACAATATCATAATTGAATCCAGATATTTTTTTTAAAAAACATTAAGTTTTATATATTATTAACATTTTATTAACAGAAGTACTTAGTTAAATAATAAAATTAATGACAAAGGATTAACTAATTATTTATAATATTATTACTCTTTTGTTGATTAACATTTGAACCTTAATTTTTCAAACCAATTGACACCATGGCTAGTTTGGCTATGTGAAAGTTGGGATTTGGAATTTTTATTGATAGAGAATGAATGCATATATATATATATGTTATATACATGTATATACATTAGGGTGGTCCTTATTTTTTTGATGTAATTTATTTAATACAGTACACCCCTAAATTGTTAAGTCATATATTTAAATATTATAGGTAAAATTTGGAAGGTGTCACTCAACCCCTTCTGGTGCCGCATTAGGGTTGAAATATGGCAAAAGAGGGTAGTTTTCTTGTTTTTTTTTAAATTAATTCAGAATGTAAAGGATTTAGCGTGAACATGCAAAGAACTTAATGATAGATTTTATTAATGTCTATAAAAAAGCATTCAATGCAAATTCTCCTAGGTCCATTGTTTTTGAAGAAAAATTAAAAAATATCAGAATTTTCTGTATATTTTTCGAAATTGGATTTTTTCGGTTTTTTAAATATATATAACGTATGGTTGGGTATATGATAAAATATTTTGTATAAAAATTATACAGAATTAAATAATCTAAAAAAAAGTTTTTGTGTAAGATTAACTTTAATATAGGTTTTGATTTTATTTACTTGAATATCATGTAATTTTTCCGAAAAAAAAAAAAAATTACAAATACCTATGAATTTATTTAACAAATGTTATGCACAATTAATTGATGCCTCTTAAATGGTTTATTGAGTGTTTGTCTATTACTTTGTGGGTATTTTTCCGGTAATTTTTAACGGTCTAAAAAATATTGTGAAATTTTAAGTTTGATTTAATTTTAAAATAGTAAAATTATTTACCTGTAATACAAATTGTTTTTGTTAATCGATTCCAATCGATTTATAATTTATCAAATCAACGAAAAGATCTTTTTGAATAAAATGTGAAACATCTTCTAATTTAAGAGCTATTTTTTTTTCAAATTCGATTTCTTCCTCGTCATTGTTTATGCTACAATTGTAAGAACTCAAGATTCTTTCAGCCATTTTGTGTTTTGTATTATTATCTACACGATCGTCAAATATTGAAAATGTAACACACTCTGGATTCAAATACCACAAATGATTTATTATTTTTTTTAATCGTACATCTGCGATTATTTTACTATGGGATTTATATTCTTCTAATCTTTTTAAAAATAATATTTCTTTAAGTGGGACTTTAATTGCATTTGTAGACGAAAACCAAGCACGGACGTAACATTTAACTATAAAACAACAAATATCTTTTAATGCCTTTTGTTCTTTGCTATTTAAATTGATCTTTAAATATAAATATTTTTAAAGAATATATGTCCTTAGCCATCCATCTGGCCAAATGGTATGCGCCATAAAAACAATGCCTCAAGCTGGAACACCACCTAAAAATATAATAACTAGTTCTAAAAATTCTTGGTAATCATCTCGAGGAAGATCTTCGAAAATCTTTTTTTTTGCATATACAATAATTTCATCGACGTCATTTTTTAAAATATTATGAATATAGGTATTAGAAACCGACGTGGATATTTTGCTTTTATCAATATTTTCCCACATATTTTGAAATCTTTTAAAAAGCAATATATCTGGTCCAGTCATGGAAAATAATTTTACTTTTGTAAATACTCCTTGTAAAACAAGTTCAAAAATGTGATGTCGACAAGTCAAAAAACAATATTTCTCTATCTAAACTTTTTTCTAAGAGTGTACATGCTCCATTCAACCTCCCTGTGTTAGAAGCTGTAGTATCAAACAAAAATACTAGGACTTTTTAAAGTAATGACCACCTTTGTAAAGTACCAAAGACAGTTGAAAATATTTCATATCCTGTTCCAGAACACATTTTGAAGACTTAAAGAAGTTGTTCAACATTCGTTGTTATTGCAATAATAGCCAAACGATCAATATTATTCTTCCCGGTTAGGGATGGAAGTATTTTTGAATCCCAACGAATTACAACATAATTTAATTTTTTTTCGTGAAATACCAAATTAATATTTTTTTGATATTTTTTGTCGATAGGCTTCACGGGACTTTTTAATTAATGTTCGGTTTATAACATAAATACTAGAATCTAATAACAGTGCTTCTACACATGCAGTTAACAAATGGACAGCATCCCTATCACTTATTTTACATTTATCAAGAGTGGCTGATAATCTAGGCGTTAAAAGTTCTATACTACCTCTTTTATTTTTTGATGGACCTGTAACTGGAGATAACTGTCTAATTACTTCATCTTCGTTTTCCGATTCTTCAAAATTTGACGTTGATAAAAAAATTGAGTATGGTTCTAAATTATATTAAGTATAATTTGTTAATTTATATTATCACATTTTTTAAAATTATTTTACAATTTTAAATTACCTACCTGTTAACAAAGTTTCGGAATGAGATTTAAGCTTTTTATTGCTTATTTCATTTCTAATTTATTTCCTTTGTTCAGCTCTAGTTAACTTCATATCCACATCCATCATACAACCAGGACGACCTGATTTTCGTTGAAGTTGTAAAAAATCTATATCATCTTGAATTTTCATTATATTAAAAGCATTCGCATGAGCAATATCGAATAAATTGTTTAATTTATCTTTGAAATCTTGTTCTCTTTTTCTACATAAATCACTCTTTCTCGTTTTACTTTTTTCTAGAGTTCTAAGATCTTCATATAATTTTTTTAATTTTTTATAATATTAGATTGGTCTTGAGTAGGTATACGAGCTTTTTTCCAATATATTAAGCATTCGTCTACAACAAGTGCAGCACTTTCACGCAAATTTAATTTTACAATTCGTAAATTATAAAAGAGATCACTCAAGCAATTTCTTTGAAATGGCAATTTACTACCAGTTATTTGGTAGTCCATTGTTCACATAAGAAAAACTCGATTTCGTGGCATATAAAATTACAATTAATTACTTTTGATTATAACTTAAACTTTATATTAAGCGACGAACGACATAGAATATTTGATAGTGAATCGAATACTATTAGTTGGATTGTAGTAGTGCGTTATGCATTCAAATATAAAGATGAAATCGCAAATGTTTCAACAAATATGTGTTCTAACCAAAAATATAAGATAAGATAGGTTCCCAAGATAAGATTAATTTATTTCATAGCCGTTAATAAATTTTTTGGGAAAAAATCACACGAAATTCAAGTAAATATAGCTAAAACCTATATAAAAGATGTTTTTATGACATTTGTACCCGAAACCTTTTTTTTTAGATTATTTAATTGTGTTTAATTTTTATACAAAATATTTTATCATATATCCAATCGTACCTTATATATATATATATTTAAAAAACCGAAAAAATCCAATTTCGAAAAATATACAGAATATTCTGATATTTTTTAATTTTTCTTCAAAAACAATGGACTTAAGAGAATTTGCATTGAATGCTTTTTTATAGACATTAATAAAATCTATTATTATGTTTGATGCATGTTCATGCTAAACCCTATACATTCTGAATTAATTTAAAAAAACAAGGAAACTACCCTCTTGCCATATTTCAACTCTAATGCGGCACCAGAAAGGGTTGAGTGAGACCTTCCAAATTTTACCTAAAATATTTAAATATATGACTTAACAATTTAGGGGGGTACTGTATTAAATTTTTGAAGTAAAATATTCCACCTATATAAATAGGGACCACCCTAATACACATGTTACAAAAATTAATATTTTCAAATGTTCAATATTTTTATAGTTTTGTATATATTTTATGCGAAATATATATTTATTTATGATACAACACTCTTCATATATTGCCTATTTGTAATTTTTTCCTTTTTTTAAAATTCTTAAAATATAATTTTTTTTAAATTTACTACTTCTAACTTTAATAATCAAACTAATCAACTAAATACTGGATCTTATGTATATTTATAAGTAAATTATAAAAATAATTTTATCAAATTATTTATTATTATAATTGTATACTAAATTTATTGTGTTAGTTTTAATTTGATCTAACATTAATTTTTAAATTTTTCTGATTTTATATAAAGTTTATTAGTTATTGTTTCTTTATTTTTATTTATTTTTTTTTAGAGTATAATGCGACAAATATTATCAGGAGTAGATTTTCTTCATTGTAATCGAGTTGTTCATCGTGATCTCAAACCACAAAATGTTTTAGTGTCCAGTGACCTCAGAATTAAAATTGCTGATTTTGGATTGGCCAAAATTTATGATTTTGATATGAAATTGACTTCAGTTGTAAGTTGGAAATGTATTCCACTTTATGTATTGTTCTAAAATTATATTATTGTACTTTTTTATTTATTTCAATTTCCTAAATTTCTAATCTTTCAATTTATACAACTTTAAACCATGTACACAATTTTTATTTAAGTTCATTAGCTTATGTATATTTCTTAAATTATTTTTGTTTATTTTTGTGGCTGTTAGCATTCTAACAGTTTTTTTTCAATTTTATATTTACTTTAACTGTAGATTTATTTAAAATTGTTGATACATTTTTTTTTTTTTTTGATTTATTTTGTAGGTATATTATGAAAAAATATGTGATAAATGGTAATAATTAAAAATGTTATACAAGATAAATATTTCATTTAGTTTTAATTTCTTGTTTAATTTCATATTGGAAATTTTTAAAAAATTTTCAATATTGAGGTTTTCTGTCACTTGATTCAAATGTCAATATTGCTGAGTTAAAAGTTAAATCATTGATTATTGGGAGCATGATTGAATTTAGAGGGTAAAGCCCCCATTTTCTCCCTGAGCTTTTGCCATAAGTTGCAAATAGTTTAAATATTTTAACTAACAATTAGTGACTAGTTTATACATTTTTCTGATTAATCTTAAATAAAATAAACAATAAATTTATTAAACCTCTATAACTACAATTAGTTTAATTTATCATATATTTTTCTAGAAATTGTGTTTTGAAATTTGTGGGTTTAATGCAATAGAATCAAATTACTATACCTAAGGAAAATACCTTTGAGTTAATACTTATGTCATCTCCTGCTAATTGTTTATCTTAATTTAATGTAGTATTAATGATTTTGCTTATGTTAAATTATATAGGTTGTAACATTATGGTATCGAGCACCTGAAGTCTTACTAGGTTTACCTTATGCCACTGCAGTTGATGTTTGGGCATGTGGGTGTATTATGGGAGAGATGTACAAATTAACTCCATTATTCGATGGCGAATCAGAAGCTGAACAGTTAGATAGGATATTTAGGTATTCAAAAATATTTATATTACTTATAATTATAATGCATAAATTAAGATATCAATATTAAAATGTCTAATTAATTATATTATAGGGTGATTGGTCTACCATCTGTTTTAAATTGGCCAAAGAATGTTTCTTTGTTAAGGAGTTCCTTTGAATCTTATCCACAAACTTGTTTGAAGACTGTAATTCCTGAAATATGTTCAAAAGGAGAAGATTTACTAATGGTATGATTTATTTGTGTTCGTATTGGTTTAACTTTTTATTAAATTATTTAGTTATTTTAATTATATTTAAAATAGAAAATAGAACTATAGTATTAAGATAATTTTTAAAATAAATATTTTTAAAAATATAACTACAAGTTTTTTAAGTTATTACTTAAACTATGTTTGAGTACACTAAATAAACTTGCAATTTAAAAACAAGGTTTTTTTTTTTTTTAGAAAATGTTAATGTTCGACAGTACAAAACGAATATCAGCTCGAGATGCTTTAAAACATCCATATTTTAATGAAATATAAATTTGATTGTATCTACCTTGGAGACTATTAATGTAAGTATCATTTCTTAATATTAGAATGCATCAAAAATAAGTGATAATCATAAAAATAATTTAATGGTTAAATTTATTTTATATTAATATTTTGGCAACATAAATACAGTTTATTTTAAAATGTTAAACAGAATTCATTAATTTTTGCAAAATTATTATTAATCTTAATTTAAAGTTTGATTGATGTAAATGTTTATTTACAAAAATGAATATATAAATTACAGACGTAAATATTATCTTTTGACATAATTTTTAGAATTTAGTTCGAGTTTGTAATTTTAGTATTTTAATTGCACTATAATGGTAGATTATTAATAGGCAGTTAATGTATAGCATAGTTTTAAAATTAATTTACAAAGTTTTTGAGGAACAGCATTTATATCTGAATCCTTCATTGCTTGAAAATGTAAAATTTGGTAATTGATATAATTAGCAAACGAATTGAATTATTTAGTTTGGCTGATGATAATAATGTTAATCCAAAAAATTTTTTTACTTAATTTCCTTTTTCATTAGTGTTACAATATATTATAGCAAGATCTAATGTATATATATATATATATATATGTATAATTCTAAAACATGTCTAAGCTGGAAATAGTATTATTTTATTTTACTCATAAACTACATTAGATGAATGACTCAGTGAATGATTCAAAATCAATGTTAAAAATGTCGGCCCTATTAAAGTTAAATAATATGTTAAGTTTAAGTTCATCATTAGTATTAAATCATGTGTCTATCACTGATACATCAAGAATAATGAACTGGGACATTTTGTTCACAGTTAGTATGTAGCTATAAATGTCAAAATGATTTCTTGTAATGATCTAACCTGTTTATATATAAATAAAATAATTTATAATTTAATATAATTTTTTTTATTTTGCAGAAGTATATTTTAATGCATGCAGATACTTAGTTTGTGTTAGTCAGTCCAAGGCAACGTGTAAGTTATTATACTCAACAGTATTGCAAGTCTTGAAGAAAAAATAGCATTCCTAATTAGCAGTTATAATTTGAGTTTCAGTATGATTAATCATTTGCTACGTAGATAGTAGAACAGTTACCAAAATATTATAGCCAGTGCATATTTGTTTACCAACTAATTAATTTTAAGATCTCTGATTAAGTTGTATCCAACTTTGGATCTCTAAATATAGTAACCGACAATCCAATTTGAAAATAATTTTTAATTTTGCTCAATGACTACATCTTTATAATCAGTGAATCAAAAGACTTGCCAATTTTCTGTCTTTACTGACAAATATCAGTGTTCACTTCCTTTTGTCTGTACTTGTATAATTTAAGGTTTTTTTTAGAACTTTTTGTGCACTGATTGGATAATAGTGCTAAAATGCATTTTTATTTATATATTTGTAAATATTTTATCTTATGTATTTTTAATACCTTGGGTTTTGATTTTTTTTAAATTGGGTCGTACCTCATTTTTAATATTAAATATTTTTTATCTATTTGCTCGATTTTTTTTAGTGATTTAAGTCTTAAAAATACTTTTATCTTTGGATTTTAAATAAATGGACTGTTTATTTTTATATATTTATTTATATATTTTTTATTTCTTTTGTTATTCAGGGACATCCAATTTATTGGTTAACCCAACCTTACCTAACCAGCATAATTATTATTGAGTAATATTATTCTTTTATTTGAATAATGTAATTGTAGTCAAAAGTTCTAGCAAAAAGATTTTAAAAATCATAATCTTTCAGAAAATCTAAATTATTTTTACTGTAATGTTAAAAAAAGTTAGAGCTGTTAAAGGTAACTATATTTCATCTATGTTAACTTTTAATTGAACATGGGAATAGAGTAAAAAATAATTTTATATTTCTTTTTGTGCTTATCAAGTGCAATTTTTTCTGTTTAGCTGATTCAAAATAATTTGATATTAAAAACTTAAAATATGATAGAAAAGAAAAGAAATGCTGTATTGTTTAATAAAGTATATATCCATTTAATTTAATCTAAGATAAGATCTTATCAAAACTCAACATTGAACACTTGAAAATTTGAAATGTCAGTAATATTACACTAGTGGTAAATAAAAAATATATTTTACTCTATCATAAACTATTAAGGAATTGCAAAGATTATTTATAAAAGCACAAATTATAAATATTTATGTGCTTTAAACAACTGTAGCTTTTTGACAGTATGAATAATTTATACAACTGAGTTGCTTTTAAGCATATTTGTAGTTCATTCGATTAATGATCATGCCATTAGTAAGTACTGAATGGGGCTAAGAAGTTGAAATTAAGAAATCTTTATTATTATTATAGTAGTCCTTGAAAATTTTACCTATTTCTCATTCACTAGCTGTTTACGATGAAGTCCAGGATTGTTATACATTTTTTTTTTTTTATAATTATATGGTAATACATATAATATCAAGATTAATATAATAGGTACAACAATTTATATAATTTCATGAACACATATTCCCTTTAATTATTAAATTTTTGTTGTAAGTATTTTGCAACATATTTATGGTTTATAGATTATTGATTTCTGAACACCTGTAAGTTCCAGTTTGTGTTTGTAATCCTTATTTTATTAGTATATTGTCAATGTCAGTTTGCAATAAAAAAATTGTAAATCATTATATATATATATATAAAAATGCCGTCATTTATTTTACTTTTTCATAACTAATACCAATATATTTTCAATTTATTTTTACTTTTATTTTGAAAATATTAGTTATTTTTTTAAGTTAGTAGTGAAGCAAGTTGTTCTGTAGAGATCGAGAACGTATTAAAAATTGTTTAAATTAAAACTTCATTTAAATTCGGAATAATTATTATTATATTCAAATAACAAAATAATTATGTATATATATGTTACGGTAATAGTCCGAATACCGGTGAAACCTAGGATATACATTATTGCATGGTCAAACCCCGAATGATTTTAGAAGTTCGGACTTTTACCAACAAGTTTTGGTAAATCTTAGGATTAACAATTAATGATTATAAAAGTCTGAAATTATATATTTTTTCCAATTTTGTGATAATTCTTACTTGTATTTATTCTTGTGCATTTGTGTTGATATCAATAGTTTTAATTTAATTATTGACTGTGATACGAATTATAATAAAAGTTAATCATTGTGTCTTCAATGATTAAGATTTGGAACAGATTAAATAGAAGATTAATTTAATAATTTGATATCGGGGCTAATTGCAGGAAGTAATTTTACGAGCAGTATTTGTTTTACAATTGTCGCGGTTAGTATTGTGAGTATACACATTATTCAATATGTCGCTTATAATACGATTTTATGAAATTTTATATGCTGTTGTAGAGTTAAAAAATAACAAAAATAATTTATATTTAACTGAGGAAAAATATAATATATTTTTAAGAGAAGTTAAAGTAGCTAAATCTGTTAATGTGAATAAAAACAGTTCATTATTGGCGACTTAAAAGGTTTGATATTGTTAATATTACTGTTGAAAAAAAACTGATTGTACCTATGAATGATGACTTCAAAGTAGGTAATGCATTATTATGTACCGGTATAATGAGTTATATTATGCTCATATTGTAACAGGCCATGTAGGTAGAAACCGTATTATGTATGAAGTAAATAGCACATACGAAAATTTTTACATTGAGTCAATTTATATAGGTAAGAATTATAACAGAATTGGAAAAAATATATAATTTCGGACTTTTAAAATCATTGATTGTTAATCCTAAGATTTACCAAAACTCGTTGGTAAAAGCCCGAACTTCTAAAATCATTCGGGGTTTGACCAAGCAATAATGTATATCCTAGGTTTTATCGGTAAATCCTAGGTTTCAACGGTATTCGTACTATTACCGTAACATATATATGTTACCGGCAATATGGATAATCCGGTATTTTGCAAAATGTCTAGGCATTATATAAAATTCCAAAAATTACCCGGCAATATACATAATACGAGCTTTGCCTAGGTATTTTGCATAATGCCAATCATGGAGTAGGCAATATGAAGAAAACAAGTAAAATTGACATCGCCTATTACCAACAACTTATCGTTTATTATAAATGTGCGTTCACGATTTAATGCAATAAAGATTGATATTATTTTACTACAATGCATAATAATAATTCTGAGATACAATATTGAACGTACTAATAATTTTATTACAATATCGAAATTAAGTCGTCATTTTCGTGTCTCGTTATGGTATTGTAACTATGGATACAATTTATATGAAGTCAAATTTTTGTAACAAACTACAAATTTTTTTTAAAAATTTGGCCACTAATACTAGTTTTTTATGTGATGAACAGTATAATGAGTTGATAAACATTCATTCCACAAGAATTGGCCGAGGATTTTTAAAATATGTTTCTAAGTCCAAGTGTCAAAATAAAAAGTGTATTTGCTTTAAAAATAAAATTTTGTGTACCTACTTCAAAATGTCACTTTTCTACAATATGTTTTAATAAGTACCTAAATAGTAGTTTAAGTAAAATATTTATATAATAATATTAATATAATAATAGATAAAAATTAAATTTTGTCTGTAATATGAGTAATAATGTATAATATTTATAAGAATTTTAATGTAATATAACATATAATAAAATGTTTTGTATACTTTGTCTACAAAAAAATTGGCATTTTGCATTATGCCTAGGTATTTTATAAAAAATCCTAGGTTATATGTAAAATACCAAAATTATCCATATTGCTTGTAACATATATATATATATATTTATATACTAGCTAGTTGACCCAGACGTTCTCTTTTCTTAATTATGAATTAGTATTTAATTGGTATAATTAATAAAAAAAATATTTCATAAAAAGTGTTTATTATTCTAATGTTTTATGATGTACAATATTCTTATTTTTTTTTCTTATGCGTATATAAATAGTTTTGTTGGAATTCCGACACGGGAACAGGCGACATATAACTGGCCATGGGAAAAACATGGATTTTCAAGACTGATGCCATAAACACTTAACGACTGCCCTTGAGATTTATTTATCGACATTGTAAATGTTAGCCACACTGGAGATTGCAACCATTTAAAGTCGAATGGCATATCGTTCGGAATCAAAACGTCTTCGTCAGGGCCGGCGTAAGGCTAAATGACGCCCGAGGCTAAAATGCCAACTGGCGCCTTTTTCATATAATAACCCGTAATATCATTATACTTAGAAAAAATTATATATTATGCTTAACTTGTACATCATTTGTTATTGTCTAATTTTTTAGTCACGAGTCACAACGACTCGATCCTGATTGAACAATAACAGATATTTGGGAATTATAGCAACATATATGATAAAATATTCTACGCTAAACCATAGTAAATATACTTAAAATATACTTATATTATCTTAATATACGGCTAAACGAAATAACCATAATTATTAATGAATATTTCAATACAAAGTTATAGGTATTTTATATTAAAAAAAAATAAATAATATTATTGACATTATGTGCAAAATTGTAAAAAAACAATTTTGGCGCCCCCCTGAAAATGGCACCCTAGGCGACAGCCTGAGTCAACTTACCCTCACGCCAGCCCTAGTTTTCGTCTTTGTAGATCCCTTTCAAAATTGTGGCTTCGATGACGTTCATTAATTTCTTCACCGCAAGTCGGGTGCTATTACAAAGACGTGGCTGGTTTATATTCCACAAAATATTGACTACCGATCTGATTTTGATTATGATACGGGGCTGCCTGTCTGACGCTGGAGTGAAAATTTTTAAATATGACAAAAAACGATATTCCTTTACCACCTGAACCCATATTAATAAGATGGGAAACTTGGATAAATGTTACCATATACTACTGTGAACATTTAGAGAACATTCAGTCAGTTATAAAAATATTCAACAGCGATGATGCCGTTTCAATTAAAACAGTCAAAAAGTATTTGGAAAAAATAACCATAAGTGTAACTTGGCATTTATTAAATCGAATTCCGGATTTTTACCCAAATCCATAACATTTTTGGAAAAGAAAGGAATAAAATTATCTGATTCATTAAATACCGTCGAAGATGCGAAAAATAAAATTGTTGACTTCAAATATATAAAAGGCAAAGCAGTCATACAAAAGTTAAATGACGTTCTAGAAAAAATCCTGGTAATAAAGCTTTATTAAAAATTTCAAAAATTTTAAGCAACAAATTTGAAAATATGGAAGAATTCCCTGAGGACTTGACAAGTAATGATCTAATTTATTTTATGTATGCTCCAATGTAGTCTGTAGATGTGGAAAGAAGTTTTTTCGTATATAAAAATATACTGTCAAGTAATTGTCGTAGATTCACGTTTGAAAACATTAGGAAATATCTTATTCTGCTGTGTAATTTTTAAGGTAGAGAAATTAATAAAATACGTAATAATAATTAAAACATTTAAATATTTAAACATTGTTTTATTTTTACTTTAGGATCGGAAGACACTGAAGGATACTAACATTTAAACCAATTACTTTTTAAAAATTTAATTTATTAAATAATTTTCAATTCAAGTAATAATATTCTAATATAGTAATGTATAATATAAATTCTGATAAAATAAATATTGAATTTTACCACATATATGTTATACTTGATTTTTTTTTGGCATATCTTAGTGCATATATGGTTATTTTTAGGTACATATTTTACAGCATATTTGGCCATTTTTTGGTGTTTATTTTAGAGTATTTTTGGCCATTTTTTGGTGAATATTTGGGTATTTTTTAGAGCTACAAGTCTCTAACCCTGCCATTGCCAATATCGAGCAACTGTTTGGAAAAAACTTCTACAGATTAATCGTTCTGCAATTCGACTCTCATGTTCATATTTAATTTGAGCGTTTTAACATCTTTCCATAAAATGCATGACTTTAAACATGCGTTAAGTTCGTCGGCTGGCGTTGGTCGTGGTATTACTAGTAGCGTTTGGCGAAAATCACCTGCCAATAAAATCATTGCACCACTAAACCGGTTTTGGTTCTTTTGTAAATCTTGCAACGTGTGGTCTAATATTTCCAAAAATTTTTTGTGTGCCATCATGCACTCATCTGAAACTATTAATTTGCTCTGCTTGCAACATTTTGACCATCGCAGAATTTCTCAAAAGGTTGCAAGTGTTTCATTTATTTATGCACATTGGCAACTTGAGTGCAGAATGAGCAGTTCGACCATTTTTCAACAATATAGCTGCAATACCTGACGCAGCAAGTGCAAGTGCGATACTATTTTGCGATTGAATCGTAGCCAAAATGAATGATATTAAAAACGTTTTCCCAGTCTTATCGGGAGCATCTAAGAAAAAAATCCGCCAGTTCCATCATTCACTACTTTCATTAGCGTATCGTAAGCCTATTTTTGTTGCTCATTTAAAAGAGGAACGTTTCTTAGAACAGTTTATTTTAATGCCTCGGAATCATATTGGGTTTCGCGTCTCAACTCTTGATTAAATGCGTTGTGCATTGGGCGATTGGGCGCTGTTATTCCTAATTGTATTAATCCTTTGTCAGTAAGCATCAAGCACATATCTTCAATTAAAGTTAATGCTTCATTGTACATTTCTTCGTTAATTTGCAAATTTGCATTTGATGTTCTAAGACGCTTCTGATGTAATATATCTTCGGTCATGTGATCTATGTATTTGTTCCATAAATCAATCGGTGTTGATGGGAAGCATGTAGACAAAATTATGGAAAACAATATTTGTATTTGTTTAGCATTTAATAGAATCACAGCATCCTCGAGTGTGTGGTCCCAATGAGTATCATTCTCTAGCAATCCCAAGTATTGATAGGCTTCTCTGTATGTGCCACACAATACATCATTAACAGTTCGCAGATGTTGGAATGATGTTGGGCCACGAACATTGACTAACAGTAATCGCAAATAAAAACACTTGTCTTGGCTGGGATGGACTGTGTAAAGACGTTCTAGTGCATCGGTGGAAAATACTTGAGGGTAACTTGGAACTGGCTGTCCTTGTTTCCGTCGTTGAAATTTCTTTAAAGATTGATTCGAGGTATAATGTCGTGGCATTTCGGAATAAAGCAGTGTTCTAGTAAAGTCATCATCTGGCACATTTCAAAGAAGCTTGTCAATATCGTGGATGAAGGCCTTTCAACTCATTGTAATACGTTTTCCGTTCCAAAGTACACCCTTTGACTATTTTCCAGATGTTGGGTCAAATGAACTACAGTGGGGTGTCTTTTATGTATTGGAAACGAAAAAATATGCCTCATCGCATTGTTACTACTGACATAGCGTCCCATTTGAAAATGAGTGATCTCATCGTTTGAATTTTCAACAGCAACTCCGAACACAGCCATGTCACCTTTGTTCACGTGTTTGCTGATATATTTTATCGATTTTTGCGGAATGGCAATATTCAACATTTAACATATTCAACTTTGACGATATTTGCAGCACGCATTCTGCCAATTCTATGTCAAACGTCAAAAGGTTACATTAAAAGAGTTCATATTGTCCAAAGCGCTAAGGTTAAATTAGAAATAATTTTATATGGTGGTTATGTTTTCTTAAATTTTCTAATTTTCCACGAAATTTTCTTTATTTTTTCTTTCATAAGAACCTTCTCCTGACAATAAAAAAAGGATAAGCGAAATCGGTCCAGCCGTTTACGCGTGATGGCGTGACCAAAGAAAATAGGTTTTCATTTATACATATTTATGTATGTATATATATATATATATATATATATATATATATATATATGTAGATATTAGTAAACAGATAATGTAATGTCTTACAATATTACTTTTACTAAAATCAAATGTGTAGACGTGGAAATCGTTTTCTACATTTTGATAACAGAATACGTATTGATACTGATGTTCAGCTTTCGGAAAATCTAATGAACCTATTGCAGCATATAAACAAAATGCCTAGAAATTAGATGTAATTTCAATAAATTTATTATTTTGTAAGTACGAGCATAATGTTTATCATACATTTACAATTATATTTTTCTTAATAGATGTTTCTTTTGCTATTGTTGTACGGTCTTTTAAGGTAATTGATGAAATGTAGTAGTAAGTAGTTTAAGTAAATTCTCAAGAAAAACCAAGAAAATAAAAATGTAAAAAAATTAATTAAAATATTTGGAAATGTTAATTAAAACAAACTAAGATAGCAAGTACTCGCAAACTAATAAGATTTTGAAGGGAAGGGGTCAGGGGCGTCCTCAAGGGGGGGCGAATGCGGCAGTCGCCCCCTCCATGACCTTTATTTTCTTTCTTAAAATATTCATTATTTATATTAAAATATAACACTAGGAAAAAAATATATGCAATGTGCCTTTAGATATTGATAGTATAATTAATCCCTTTGCTAAATCTAAACACAGAATCGATTTTATTCTTTGATTTATACATTTTTTTTTGTTGCTTTTTTACTATACATCTAAATTAGATGATCTAATCAATAAAAATAATATTTGTTTTGTGTGTTAATATTCATTAATTTACATTTAAATAATTTAATATGTACAAAAATATTTTAATACTGTGACTCTGTTAATTAAACTTTGTTTTTTGTATCTATAACTATGCCTATGTCAGATGCCCTAATGACATTAGATACCCCGAGTTAAATCAAGTAAAACACCTAGTAATTGGTGTATTTTTATATATAGGTAATTTTAATATTTTAATATTATTATCATTCAATGTTTAGTGGATATATTCTCATGATAATATTTGTACGGATTTGCGAGTAAGAGTATAAATTATATTGTTAATATTATGTACAATTATAAATTGATGGAACTGTTTAAATTTTAAATCACTCTTCCGCCTTTTATGTATGGACTTAACACCACTGTTTTGATTTAAATTTGATAAATCGAATGACGTGTTTTATTATTTTTAAACAATTATAGTCAAAGTAGAATTAAATATAATGAAAATTTACTTTAATACGTCGGAACTATTCCAATAAAAAGAACAAATTTTCAATTGCATTGTATTTAATTTGGGGTTCATATTATTGCACCACTAGTCACTCACCTTTTATGTGTATACAGATTATTAAATATTATGGAAATTTTAATTATAAAACAAACTAAAAAATGATCATGTCATTCACTGCATCTTCATGTTATACATCTATAATAAAATCAATTTTATATAGTATAATGCCAAATTATGAGTTTGTCATGCACTAAGATCTCATGTTGTCTTTAAGTTGTCATTTTAATTAAAAAATAAAATACGTATACAATTACGAATGTATAGACAAAAATAATTTGACTCGTTAATACAATATCAATGTAAAAAAAAGATAAATCATTGAAGACCGTCTGTTGATGACTGCGTGTTGTTTTCGGTCGTTGTTGGTTTTCCGCGAGCGTTCGACTTCTCATGTTGTTGTGTCGTTGTCGGTTTTTCGGACTTGTTTTTTATCATCAGCGGATTTTTGTTATTGCTGACGTGATGAATGTTCAATGCGCTATTGACGTCCTGATAATTATTTTGACATGTGATGTATAAATAAATCATATTTATTATATAGTATAGTGCAGGGGTGTATTTATGGTTGGGGGCCTGAGATCCCCTTAGACCCACTATGAAATTTCAGAAAAAATTGTTAATTCTGCTTTTACCTTATGAAAATAATGTATAATGTAAATTGTAGAAGCTCATATTATCATTGTTTTATGAATTAATAGTTTCAAATTGTTTCATTATTATTATGTTAATTTTCTATTATTTAATTTAATTAATTTTGTAAATGATAATTATAATTATGTAGGAGTTTCATGTAATTTTATTTAATTAATTTTCTAAAAAAGAATTAAGAATATACAATAAAAATTAAAATGTTTTACTTAAATTCTAATTTTGGGTTTTAATTGGTTTAATTGTGAAATTTTGTTTAGAGGAAATTCCCCAACCCATCTAAAAAAATGTAAATACGTCCCTGGTACAGTGGTCGACATTATGCATGTAGATTAAAGCTTATAATAAATTAATGTAATTAACGATTTTGGAAACAAAATGTTTTTTATATGGGTTTCTGTGACGTTGATTTAGGAGCGTGTTTATATAACGTCTCGTATATTGATCAATATATTATTATACTGATCAATCTAGGGGTGGATCCAGAGGGGGGCAAATGGGGTTCCCTCACCCATTCACCGTAGCAGCCTTTAGTTTTTGACGTAATTACTTCAAGGGTAAATAGGGAAATCTTAAACTATTTTATTTTTTATATCAAACTTATGCTGTTACTATGTTTTCACTCATAATTTATTATTTGGTGATATACTGATATCATAGTTATATACTATTATTATGATTTTAAATATTTGTAACCAAGTTTTGTGTTTGTCTGTGTATCCGAAACGTGATAACTAATGACGACTAACGTAAAAAAATCGTTCGGTACCTCTATAATCAACAAATTTGTAATTTATAAACTCTATTGTTATGAGACATATTGGAATAACTAAAAAAAATTATTATTATTATTACTACAGTAGAACCTCGATTATCTGGGGCAATGGTGGGGAAGAGTCACACGGAAAAATGAAAAAACACGGTTAATCGAGACTTTATTAAACGAATTATGAAAAAATTTATAATTTGATATCCATATTAAGTGTGTACGATATTATTTTATCAATGACTGTTTTTGAAATGGCTATAGCAAATGCTAAAAATAAACTAAATAATATGAAACAAATTCGACAGACTTGAAAATTTCTCATGTGTATTAGTTATAACGTGATTAGATAAATATGATTGTTGAAAAACGTCTATTAGATTTTTTTAATTTTAAATAACTCATATCTACCTGTGGCATATTTTTATCGCTGAAAAGTTCGTTTACGTTTTTCGATAATCTGTACATAATATAAAAATACATTCGTCCGACCTAATTAAAATTTTCAGACGACCAATTTTGAGCGACGATAATTTTGGAAGACTGAGCACGGTTAATCGGTATCACGGATAATCGAAATACGGTAAATCGGGGTTCAACTGTATATAATTTTTTTTTTAAGACTTTTTTTATTTAAATAAATAACCTATATCAAAATTAATATTTTTAATTTTATCTATATAAATATCTATATCATGTGTGTCAGTTAAAAATCGCCCCCCCCCCCCCCC